GGTAAGAAATGTAACGTCTACTTTATCATTCGTGGTACATAAATTTTCAAATCATCAAAATGTGCATGTCAAGTACCTTTGCGAAAGTCAAAATTAAACACACGTCCACGAAGTGAATGAAGCTTGCACTTACTCACAGCCTCTTTGATTAAATTGCTGGGTGGTACACCAAGTATACGAGATACGAGTAGTAAATTCATGAGCTCTTATAGTTCTAGCCTTTAGAAACACTTTTATAGTTCATGCATAAAAAAAACATTCAATCATAGCATAATCATTCTTCATGAGCCTATACAAAAAAAAAAGGATGAGCTCCATCCCTAGAGTCTCCTAAATGGGCCAAATCCACTATCTTTTGGGCATATACCCAAAGACTCTAGAGGAGTTATTGATTTTTTCATGTGTTTGAGACCTTAAGAAGGCCTCAATATTGAAATTGCCCACAATGCCCCCGCACTCACTTCCTAAGGATAAAGGAGGCCCATGAGAGCTCAAAGAAGTCTTTCTTGAGGTAAAAGAATGTGTTGAGGGAATTATGATTTTCTTTTTTTTTTTCTTTTCTCTTTTTTTGGGGGGGAATCCCTTTTGGAGTTGTACCAACTAACACTATGTTTGGTTCGTAGAATTCGAAGCAAAAAGAAAAAAAAGATTTTCTCTCATTTCCTTCACCAAACACAGAATATTTCTCCCTCATTTTCTTTTCCTTTTCATTTTCCTTGAACCAAACATGGCTTAAAGTTCTTCTTAGGAATAAGCTGGCCTCTTCAAAGAGGAGTGATTTTTCTTCCGATGGAGGAGGGGTGCCCTTATATCATAAAATGTGCCAAACTTCCTTCTAAGAGATCTTGAGTGCTTTTCAAAGCTTGCTCTAAGTATCTCTCGTTCTCACGTGCATTATTGTTATTCCTCTTCATATTGAAAATTTTTGTCATATGAAAGACCAACCAAGGGCATTTTCTCATATAAAAAATGGGATATAATATGAATCAAAGTATAAAACACATCCCATAGGAGGTGTTTATAGTACTAACAAAGGGTACACATGGCTGATGGAAATAAGAACAAAGTTTAGCGGATGAATATTGCATGGAATATAGACTGTCACAACTTAAACATCATTTCCTAATATGGATAATTTGCAAAAGTAGATTTTTTGCCAAAGACACACTTGCTAAATATATGGAGGTAGATCAAACACCTACATATGCTCTATCATGAAGTGAATGAAGGTAGGGATCGATCACTTGTTTGTTAAATGTAAATACACAAAGGGGGTTATGAGTTATGACACAGGTGCCTAGTTTGTTTGAAGTCCAAATTTAAGAGAATTTTGTTGTTAAACAAACTCAATAACTTCCGAAATAGAGATTTCAAACATAAGATTTATTGTCGGAGTTGTTGCCACTTGCTATACGATTTGGAAAACAATAAATCAAAGGCTACATGTCAAAAAAAGAACCAAACATGGAAAAGTATTTGAGCTAGATTAAATATCATCTCTTAACTTACATAGCTAGCAAATGTTAGAATAGGGTTGTGTTAGGTTAAGGGAATTAATGTGATTTGCTTTTTGTGTGATTTGGATTGATGTAATATTGCTTTGAGATAAATAAATCTGCATTTTTTCGTTCAAAAGAACGTACGGAGTAACAAAGAGATTTTCCTTATAAAAGATTGTATTGAGAGAAAATGAAAAACATAATGGCAAAGTCGTCTAGGTGGGAGTTTACAAAAAATTAGAAACTATGAAATTTACCAACGAACTATCGAAATTATTTTAAAATGTATAAATCACTAGATATGAGGTCATATTTTAAACGAGACGGTTCTCATGACATTGCTAGGCAATGTCATGGGATGACCCGAGAGGTGTTCCGGTCTTCCATTCGTAAAATTGATGGTTCTTACCCCCGGTAAATCCCCCCACCCCGCCCCGATCGAAACACACCCCACTCCCTTAAATTACACCCCACAAGTTAATTTTGACTTTGAATTCAAATTTTGACTTCAAAGTCAAAATTAATTTGTGGGTGCAATTGAAGCGGGGTGGAGAGGGGTGTGTTCGGGTCGGGGCGGGAATGTAGGGTTTAAGGGGCGTTAAGAGGAGCATGGACCATCAATTTTACGAACAGGCTCCAGGTATCACTCTAAATAAGACTAAAACATAGTGAAAAGTACAAAAATAGGACTTTCTTCTTTTTTCTCAAAATAGGACTTCACAATGTGATAATGTAGTTGTAATGTTACACTGTACACGTGCATATTACTATACTTTTTGGTAATGTACATGACCATGTTTAGTAATGTAATTATGTTTAGTAATGTAATTATATTTCAAATCTTATTTCAAAAATAAAAACTTTTCAATGTTTTAATCCAATCTTTCTCCCTTGTTACAATCAATCACTACTAAAAGAGTATGGAAGAAGCATGGAGAGGTGGTGGTGTGCATGCGCCACTACATGAGCTAAGATCCTTCATTTCAATTTTGAAGAAGAGTCGTGCTTTTCTTGAACGCCTCAGTCAGTCGGTGACAGCAGGCCACGCGGCGGCACCGCACCTCCGCGCCGCTCCTCTTTTTCCGTCCTTTCCCCCCCACACGCTATAGCCGTGATAACCCTTCTTTACTCTCCCTCTTAAAAAACCCCCCCACACAAAAACGCCCACATTTCCAGAGCGAAACAGAAAGAAACACAGAAAGTTTTTATCTTTTTACATTGATGGCGGGTGGCGGTGGGTACATGGCGGACGACGACTACGATTACTTGTTCAAGGTGGTGCTGATAGGAGACTCCGGCGTCGGGAAATCGAATCTGCTCTCTCGATTCACTCGCAATGAGTTCAGCCTCGAGTCCAAGTCCACCATCGGCGTCGAGTTCGCCACTCGCACCGTCCGCGTCGGCGACCAGGTCGTCAAGGCTCAGATTTGGGACACCGCCGGTCAAGAGAGGTAGTGTGCTTTTCCAATTTCTCGATTCCCTGTGAAATTTCAACCCCGTTTCCGCTTAATGCGGCGGAAAATGTGTGGTTATTGCTCACAGCTTGTCAGGCTAGGGTTTTGCATAATGTGTGTTGTTTTAGCTCTGATTTTGCAGAGTTTAGCAGTGGGCAATGCTTGAGCTATCTAAAAGCTAAACACAGTTAGGGGTTTGAATTGGTTGATAGTGATTAGCAGACTCCATTATCACTCAAAGTGTTTCCCTCTTTGTCACTTTGTCATGGTGATCTTGTTTGCTATGTGATCAAGCCAAAGTAATTTTGTTTAAATTTACAAAAAAAAACAAAACAAAAGAGTTAGAAACAAGTTAAATATGATGGATTGGGTTAAAGTGTTAAACCAACAAATGATTTTTTTAAAAATTTAAAATGTGTGTTGTATTTCATGACTTTCTTTTTTGCTACATTATGTTTCCCAACTTGCATTGTACAAACTCTAAGCGTTCAAGATCCCACCCCAAGAACCTTAAGATCCCACCCAAGAACTTCACAGGTGGCAAATCTGAAACTTTTTCGTCCATCAGGTTGCTACGTAGTCCGTACACTATTAGGCACAAGGAGTCATCGCGTAATGATGTTTTATGACTTTTTAATTCTAAGATTGGTGTGTTGCAAAAATGCAAAAAAAAGAAATGTGCATTGAGTATATAATCCCATTCATTTGAAAAAATTAACTAAGGCACAATGAAGTTCATGTTAGTAATCAGTTTAACCTTTTTAGTTTGACATTTTATATAAAAGAAATAAGAAAGAAAAAAGACCCCCTTTTTTGGACGAATGGAGTATATGTTTGGACGGTGTTGGTAAGGTTTTAGTCATTAATGTAAGCCGTGGATGATATATATATCAATGTACTTGCTAGAAATGGTTGATAGATTCAACAGATTTATGGATATAGATTGTATAGGTCTAGTGCATTTAGGGATGTTCTCAAGCTTTATGATAAGCCAAGTCTCAACTGTTGGATGCAATTTGAATGTATTGTTTATTCATTAACTGAAGCATAGATTTCTTTCCTTTGTAAGTAGTAAATTTCTTTCTCTGTTTGGAAAGACATAATTTTCCCATTGGTTTTTGAGGACTGAACATTGAATGACTAAAAGAAAAGATGGAAATCTTGTTCTATATGTGTTGTGTGGTCATATTTATATAATTGCCTATAGGGTTGGACTCTCCTTGTATTTGGTCTTGGGGTCTTGGCAAGTTGCTTAGAGATGGGGACGGGAACCGGAAAACACCAATTTTTTTTTCAAATTTTACAAAGAATGTGCATGTCGGGACACCCCCAAGTACCCAAACATGGACGAGAAGTGGCACTTGTTTGAAGAACCACGGGGTTCTTTTGACCCGCAACCTAGTGTCATAATATGACATCAACTCAATTAAAGACCCTACGGGCTTCGTTTGACCTCATAGTTGATCCTACCCACTCATTCCTTGCCATGCCGCCCACAAATATTTGACAGTGAATTGTCACTCATATGGGAGGTGTGGTTGGGGGCGGGTAGAACCACTTCGGTGTCAAATCGAGTACCATAAGGCCCTTAAACAAATTCGTGTTGTAGACACTGTCCCTTGGTGTCAAAAGAACCAGAGTCAAATCCATGCAACCTAGCTCGGTGAAGAAGGTTGCTTTAAGATAACAACTTTTAGCTTTGTTCTGTGCTCCCTTGTAGTATGTGAAATCACAAACAACTTAATCATTCTTTTAGTATGTGTTCTAAGAGGGTGTTTGAGAGTGATTAACTTGTGGATAAAGTAATTTTCACAAAAGTTAAAAGCAAAAGCACCTAATACCTGCTTCTCCGAAACGGTGTTCTATGTACAAAATAGTGGTGGTGAAAAACAAAAGTTGACATGCCAAACAGAGTAAAACCACTTCCACTCAAAGCAGAAGTTAAATTATTAAAAACAGCGCACTGCCAAACACCCTCTAATATACTTTCTCTACCACAAGGTCTCTGGCTTATTTGTTGTGTCCTAATTACAATACTGATTGATTTCCCTCTTTTTTGTCGTCTCGGACTTTTCGGGCGAACCGCGGAAGGTACCGGGCAATAACGAGCGCATATTACCGAGGAGCAATGGGTGCATTGGTGGTGTATGACGTGGCCCGCCGCGCCACCTTCGAGAACGTGGAGAGGTGGCTGAAAGAGCTGAGGGACCACACGGACCACAACATCGCGATAATGCTGGTGGGGAACAAGGCGGACCTCCGCCACCTGCGGGCCGTGTCCGTGGAGGATGCCAAGGCGTTCGCCGAGAAGGAGGGGGCCTTCTTCATGGAGACGTCCGCCCTCGAGTCCACGAACGTCGACGGCGCCTTCACCGGAGTGCTGGCCCGGATACACGACGCCGCGCGCCGGAAGGCCCTCGAGGTCGGCGGTGGGGACCACCAGCCCGCGCTGCCGAGGGGCGAAACCGTAAACGTCGCCAGAGACGACGTGTCCGCCGTGAGGAATGCGGGTTGCTGCTCTGCCTGAACTGAAATTAAACAACAGGTTCAAAGATATAAAAGTGCATCTGATCTCTGGTGTTTTGCTTTTTCATCTTAATCTCTCCATTCATGTTATTTTGGATTAAGATTTATGTTGTTATTATTGTGAAAAATGTTGTGGAGTTTAAGGAAAAATGTCTGTAAAGTTAAACATGGTCTGATCTGATTAAGAAAAAAGAGAAAGTCATCATTATAGTATGTATTCTCGTTGCACATTTATAAAAACATAAATGCTCACTAATTCATCAAGCAGTACAATATTTTCATGAATTTTTGACCTTACTAAATTTAGAAAAATGATTAATTTGTGGATACTAGTTCATTCAAAGTTCAAACTAGAACTTTTTTTTTTTTTTTGCAAATTACTCATTTCACATTAAACACTCTTTTTTTTTTCTTTTTGTGTTCAAACACTAGGGCAGTGACACATATCAATTTTTGGAGTACCAATGTGAATATAAAAAATTTTGGGAGCATTGTCATTTATTAGATCCCGACGTTTTTATTTAAACTCGTGCAATTCTGAGAATATGAATGTGAATTTTCTCAAATATATTTTAAAAAAGAATTGTGTGATTTGCATGAGTTCTGCTTCCGTGGTCTTAAAGTTCACATGAAAAATGTAGACGTTCTCACATTTTTTATTGGTTTACAAGTGAATTATTTATCTTTTGCAAAAAGTCCAGCTCTTATAGAGTATTTTTGCATGAAGGTTCATAAAATGAGTATAATTCAAGAACCACATAAGAATTTATACAAACTCAACGATACAATTTTGTATTTATTATTTATTATGCCCGATCTATTATTGATCTCATTTCATTTCAGGAAGAAGCGTGGCTCTAAAAAAAATTTTAACAAATCAAACTAAAGGCTCGATTTCACACAAATATCTTCACCCTTCTTTTGAGATTTTGAAACCGGAAGTCGGGACACTTTCACCGTCTTATCCTCAATCACACCGCGTGAATCCCTACACGAGAACAAGCCAAAATTCTTCTTTTTCATCTTCGTTTTCCTCTTCCTCGTCCCAAAATCTACTCTGTCGTCTTTGCTAAACCGCAAAAGATCAGTGCCTCTCAAACCGTCATTCTTGGTGCACTCCATGTACGCAACCAAGAACGGATCATTGTCATGTTTATTCACCGCTTTTTTCGATGAATTTCTAGACACTTGGGGAAGGATTTGCGAGCCATCCGACGTCAACGCCACGCATGGCGGAGGCGGCAAGTTGGGGTGGCGGTGGTGGTGGTGGGGATGAAACACCGGCACCGTCTTCAAAACCTTGCTGATACCGGGCTTTGTCTCCCAAGAGAAGGGCACATTTCCCTTTGAACAAATGTTATTGTGATTCTCACACATTGATTTCTAATGATACCTTTAAGAGTTTTTTTAATAGTTTTCAAATTGGATGAGAGAGAGAGAGAGAGAGAGAGAGAGAGAGATGGGGGGAATGATATATGAATTGGGAGGCCACAATTTCACACAAAAATAATGTGTTGGTGGCTCTTCATGTGAAATGTGCCATCTAACGGCAAAACTTGCTTTTATTGGAGCAATTAAAGCATGAAAGAAGGGAGTGATGACTGATGAGTGTGTTTACAAGTACCTTTTAAACAGAAATACAAACATATTTTTATTTTTAAAATTCTAAAAATAGACATTTATCACATTCTTTTCACACATTTGCCAGCATATATAATTATTCAATTTTGAAAAGTAATAAATGTAAGAAATGGTCATGAGCTAAAATTGTATATATAACATTTTAAAAAATATGGAGTAATAAATATTATCTGATCCTTTTTTCAAGAAAAAAATTATGCATATTGAAGAAATTTATACAATGGTGAAATACATATTAATGGAATAGTTAGGAAATGGAGGGTTTTATACAATATAAAACAAAATGTAATGATCATTCAATATACAACAACCCAGTAGAATATCACAAAAGCAGGGAAGGGTGTGTGTCCGTAAACCTTACCCCCACTAAAATATAATAATAATAATAATAATAATAATAATAATAATAATAATAATAATAATAATATGAGTAACATTAATACTAATAATAATATTAGTAGTAGTAGTAGTAGTAGAGCTTATTTTAATTAATACTCCGTAAAAATTGCAAAAATGACCAAATGGACCAATTATATACATACACATCACACACAAATGCATGTCACATGTAAAACGTGTATATTCAAAGGACCAAACATACAACAATTGTAAACCAGAAGCCTTCTCTTGATACAATAACAAACCCGGTAGGTAAAATCCCACAAGAGTAAGACCGATGTGTTTACGTAAACCTTAACCTTAATTAAAAGTCAAGGGACTGTTTTCGAAGAAAAAAAGGTCCCAGCTAAAACACAAAAGCAGAGGACAAAAGAAGACTAATTAATTGCCCTATTAGCTTTATTTACTAAACATGACTAAAATGCAGCAAAATCAATGAGAAGAAACCCCCCCCCCACAGACCCAAGCTAAAAAGCTTGGAAATACAAAGCCATCACAAATGAATCAATGAATATATATATCTATTGCATATGGGCAACAGTTTGATACAGCCAGCCAGCTACTATGCACAGTTCAAACCAAAACGAACCTTTAGAATTCTATATAGTCTGTACAATTCCGGGGTGAGACTAGAGAGCAAAAGATACATGCCCAATAAGATAACGGTTGTGACAAACGTGGGCCACGTCTAAGCAAAGTATATACAGAGTAATACACATTACAGTTGAAGACAATGTTCCCACCCTAATAAATACTTCCGAATGAAAAGAGAAATCAGGGAAATGGTACCACCACCATTCGACCCGGTTCACAAATCCGGTTTACCTGTTGACAGAGCAGTGGATTTGCATATGGGGCAGCTGTTCTTCACAACCAGCCACTTCTTTATGCAATCCGCGTGATACTCATGCCCACATTCAACTATGCCGATATTCTCTTGGTCCTTATATTCATGCTGCCATACCAAGCAAACAACAGTATTGTACACTTTCAGCCCAAAAAAAAGAAGAGGTAACAAGAACATTGAATAATGGTTGTAATTACAACAACTCAGTACAATCCCCAAACACTATTGGGGCCTAGGGGTAGGCAATCTTACCCCCGAGAGGCTATTTCTGTTAGACCCTAAATGCATTGTTACATTTACGTCCAAAACTTCGTAGGACGTAAGAAGCAAGGGAAGTTTAATTTGCTATTTTGATTTAGTCCATTATGTGCTCGGAACTAAAGCATTGTCATTAATGACTCTTTTAGCTCCATTGGTAATGAACGGGATTGAAAAATGGTTGTAATTATGATGAATAATAGATACATGAAGGAACCCACCAGGGAATATACTAAATCACATGTTTTTGCAGGGGAAAGAATTGGAAGTTAGAGCTTCTTTTGATCAATGAAAATTGTTTTTTTTTTTGAAGAAAACTGCAAAGAACCAAAGAAAATAGTTTCTTTCATGAAAACTCTGAAAAGTTTTTCATCCCTAAATGCAGACACGCACACACTGACACACACACACATTCCAAAAATATTTTCTGCCAACCAAACGAAGCTTAAGCCATTAGATCTGTGTACAACTTGCACCCCAGAGCCTGAGAGGATCTAAATCTCAAACACTTAAATTTTTTTGGTTTATGGTCACAATGTAAAGTGCAGATCAATATAAATACCTGACATATGACACAAAAGTCTGTTTCTTGGTCCAAACATTCTACAGGGGATAAACTAGAAGCTCTTGAGAAAAACAATCTTGTTTTCAAACGGTTGGTGACAAATTCTTCTGACAACCCCCACACCCCCCCCCCATACAAGTTATTAACGGCATAGATGAGAAAACACTTGTTACCAAAGTACCAACTAGTTATCCCAAACAGGCTTGTAAATATCCCTAGAGGGAGTATGGATGACTCCGCAAAGGAGTTGGATCCTGGCTGTTGTTGGATCAGCAACCAATTTCTAGGCACCACTTTTTCGGAAACAAGGCAAGCTCGCGCTTAGAACATTTTTTTTTTTTCAAAAAAAGGAGTAAGGATTGCGTATATTCGTGTGATTAAAGACATGTACGATGGTGCTACAACGAGAGTGAGAACTGAGAAGTCAAAGTGGAGTAACAGGGGGGGGTTTCCCATCGGTGTAGGATTACACTAAGGGTCGTCGTTAAGCCCATACCTTTTTATTCTAGTAATGGACGTTCTTACCAAGCATATCCAAGAACGTGTACCAAGACGCATGCTTTTTGCTGATGATATCATCCTTATGGGGGAATCACAAGAGGACTTGAATGGGAAGTTAGATTTGTGGAGACAGGCTTTGGAGTTGCAAGGCTTGCGTATAAGTTACACTAAAACAGAGTATATGGAGTGCAAGTTCCGCAACGGAAGGAGAAATAGTAACATTGAGGTGACAGTTGGAGAAAATACTATACCACAAGTAAAGAGATTTAAATATATTGGGTGTATCATTCAAGACAATGAAGAAATAGAGGATGATATTAACCGCGGGATTCAAGCCGGTTGGTCAAAAAGGTGGAATGCTTCGGGCTTTAAATGTGACAAAAAAAGTACCTTTAAAACTAAGGGAAAATTTTACCAAACTGCAATTAGACCAACTATATTGTATAGAACAGAATGTTTGACAGCAAAGAGTGAAGATGAACATAGGGTTAGTGTGGCGGAAATGAAGCTGTTTTGTTGGATGAGCAATCATATGCATATGGATAGAATAAGAACTAAAGATATGAGAGCTAAAATTGGAGTGGCACCTATTGTTGGGAAAAAATGTGGAAGCTCGTCTTAGGTGGTTTGGACATGTGGAGAGAAGACCAATAAAGCATTCATGAGAAGGGTTGATCAAATGATGAATAAACATGCGGCTAGAGGAAGAGGTAAAATTAAGAAGATTTGGCAAGAAATGGTCAAGGGGGGCCTTTGTGTGAACGATCTCACAAGACATATGATACATGATAGGGTGCAATGGTGTCGTTTGATACATGTAGCCAACCCCAACTAGTGGGATAAGGCTTTGTGGTTGCAAGCTTAGGCAAACACTATTGTGGATAGAGGTAAAGCTCTATACATTTTGATGCCGAAACCCCTAAGATTTTACTAGATTTGTTGTTGTATGTGTTTTTGACATTATTTATTTATGTCTCACTCAACCACTCATTCTAGACCACTCAAAAGTTAAATCCATCTCGCATGTGACCCATATGAATGTAACTCACAACAACAAACATCCTAGTAAAATCCCTTGGATGGGGTCTAGGAAAGGTCAGAAAGACTGTTTCTTGAGAGGCCCTGACTCAAGCAAGGAAGAAAAAGGTGAGTAAATATCACCAGATACATGAAAACCAAAAGAATAATGTTGCTAAAAAAACTCTCTATAATGTATTTTCATTTTTACCTCATAAGACATGTGATCTATGTCCATACGCATCTCTCTATGTTGATCAACAGAACCCCCTACTACTTCATATTCAGGAATCTCTAAGATTGCCACTCCCTGCATAAAACCACCAATTAATCACTCACTCACAAGTTGTGCTTCATCTAGTTAGATATTGGCAAAGAAAACATAAAGATAGGCCATGTTACAATAGCAAACATTGACATTACATCTTCTGGAAGAACTCTCATGTTAGGAGCAGTAGGGTTTCTCATGATATTTGTCTCGGCCATTAAATCCCTTTGATGGGGCATGATTATTCGAAAGCCGTTGGGTGGGAAAGGGCCCATATATGTAAGACCAGCCTCAACAACACCTGGGGAAGGACTTTGGGAGATATTTGTTATGAGCCTGTGTGAAGATGGTGCCATTTGAGGGAAGTTGACATTAGGGCTTCTCATCACTTGCATGGATGGTGGAAGATGGTGTACACTTGAAAATCCTTGTGGAATATGGGTGGGGCGCATAAAGCTAGCCAAGCTCCCATTGTTGGCTGCTGCATGATAATCTTGTGCACCCATGTTTCCATCCACACAACCCCCCACAGTACTTGCTGCTGGCATTGCTTGCCCAGGAAAAGGTAAATGAATTACACAACCAGTATAAGCAATAACACATCAATATATGCATATGCAAAGTGAAATATGAAATTACGATTATCAGACAAAACTTGTTCGCTCAGTTGTCTTTTTTTGTTGTTTGTTTTGTTGCTATAAAAATAGTCTAGCAATTCTCTAACAACTACTAGGTGCTAGCATACTTCCTAAGTCCTCCCTCTTTTATTTTTATTTTATGATTTTCTAAATTTTTGTTAATGAATATAGCGCACGCGCTTCATATTTCAAGTTGTCTAATTAATAGAAAACTAGAAATAGAATTAAAAATTGTACTCCGTGTTATTTTGTAATGGAAATAGCTTACTTAAACGAGTTATATTTTATTGTAAAATAGTAAAAATTTAACAATAGTAGAGTGATCAATGATCAATGTCATTTAGGTTTTAGAGATCCCAAAAACTAGACAACCCAGTTGGATAGATTTGGCTTCCGCCCACCTAGCCCCCCTAACCAGACAAACAATTTTATTGGCCGGCTAGAGAAAATTCACAACACAAGGCCATCACCTAAGTTGATTTTGAAAACATATCAGTCAACAAAAGGTGACAAGTACATGTCATTGCATGCCCACAATGATCTCAAAGTGAATAACCAGAAGATAATCAGTATAACACAGGTTACAATTCTATAAAACTAGTTCCAACAAAGCAATTGAAATTTAATATATAGTAAGATATTATTAACACATTTTAAAAAGAGGTGGCTGCTGCATGTCCAAACTAGATACAGAATCATGGGAGCACTAGAATTACCATGTACATAATGCAAAGGAGCGGCCTGGTTAGTGTTAAGCTGTGGCATGTCCAACCAAGGATGAGCTGGAAACGGTTGAAAGCCTTGACTCACAAAGCTTCCTTGAATGAAGTGATTATTTCTGTTGTGTCCTGCTTCAGATTCTAGATGACCACTCTGATATCCAAATTCGGTCAATGGTGACGAGTCAGGTGGTGCTGGAAAAGCCTCAACTGAAGAGCTAGAGCCGACCATAGCATGATGATATTGGAAGTTCATGGGGAATCCATCAGCATCCTTTCTCTTAAATGAACCTCTAACACCATCAGCGAAATGAATATTCCTTCCATTAGGCACACTCATGGGGAATTCGTTAGTAGAGGATGTAGCAGCCATATATGGATTATAATGATTTGTCATGGGACGCTGATGATGAATAGTGCCATTGTAATGTGCCATCCCATAAAATAAAGCATTGGCGCGCTGATCTGGCAAAGGACGTAAATAGGTATTTCCTGACACTGGTGCTAGAGTATGACTGATTGGCTGTGGGAAAGTTGGCATATTATTCCCATAAAAGACACAGAGGTCAGGGTGCACATAGTTTTGCCTTGTATGATCATCAGCTTCGTAATCAACCGTGTGACTACTATGTGGTGTATTTCTATGCTCCATCACAATAAAGTAATAATTTATTAAATGGTGCCTGCATGTAAGAAAGACTAATTAAGGGACAATATGGCTGAATCAATTTTCACATAATTCAGATAAAGAAATAAATGGAACAAAAATGATCCAATCCCGACATCTAGAACAAGCATCCACAATATATTGTACCTATTCTAAACAAATCATTGTGTCTACTTGATAAAAATGAATTTAATGAAGTGATAAAGATGGAAACATTAATTAAATAGCCTTTCCATTGCAAAAGAGAGATAATAAATCAATGTTTTGGAGACCTAAAAAAGTAAAGTTGGCATTATTGTAATGGATAGATTTATATTGATACTACGTAAAATTTAGTATTCATTTATTTGAACCCTATCAGATTAAGAAATACTCGTGTTCTAGTATTAGAGCAATACATTCCCAAATCATCCAATCTCAGTAAGATAATAAGTTATGCAAATGTGATTTGCAGCCTTCTGTATGATGGAACAAGAAACTTTTCTGTTTGGAATTTAATGCCACTTAGGTGGGAGTTTAAGGACTTAAGGTCGAAACCCAACTGCAAATTCATATAAACCGCAAGGTGAACTGAAGGGTATTGATCCAGCTAAATAGAAAAAAGCATATAAGAATCTCTTCTACCAGCAGTAAAAACTATCCACCAAAATTCTACAAGCACCAAAGTTTAATGTGAAGTGATATGAGAGGTTGATTACAATTTTGTCTACTTAATTTGCATTTATTTCGGTTGTTGGCTATCCAGTTCAAAATCAGGTATATATTGTACTCAATTCTAGAAATGCGTAACTTTAAGTCCACCATTAACACAATATATTTTAGTAATAAGTTTATTTGACAATTAATGGCTTGTATAAGAACTTTCTTACTACTTGGGAAACAAATTTTGGCAGAAAGCGGCAAAATTGTTTCAACCAAAAAGATTTGCATGTCTACAATATTCAAAGCTCTTACGGGTCACTGATGGTAAATTCTTAGGAGGACCTAAGTCCTAAGGTCTAACTAAAACTTCATGAACGTTCTTAGTACCTACGTAAGCATTTTTATCATATTGTGATACATGTATTTAATTTCTTGTTTATTATTTTGCTTGTGTGAGAAGGTCCAGGTATTATTACATGGAGCTTAGGTCCATGATGGAAGCACTCTGATATATCAAACATTTAGGTCAACATATTTAGCCCTATTATTCATTTTTGAAATAAAAAAACCATTTTTGATAGTACTCCTAACTGCAAAATGAATGTATCTATATTTCAAAATACTTCATTTGTCCCATGAAAGATAGTCATTTTTTAGGACGGTGCATTTGTTTATTTTTAGTAAGGTACAACTATTGAAAAAATAACTTATAACTAAATTTCTAAAATATTTGTCGGTTTAACTGAATTTAACATATACAACTTGTTTGGTATACTTTTTTCAATCAAAAGCATTGTTTATAATGACGAAATCAAAATGTCACATTAAACTTCCTTTAGTTATTACGGAGTACTTCCTATGAAGTTTTGGGTTGTAAATGCAGCAATGCATTAAGCGTATAGCAGAAACAACCTCTTCTTTTACAAAGGTAAGGTTGCGTACATCACAACCCCCAAGACCCCAACATAGTCGGGATCATATTGGGTTTTTTGTTGTGTATGTATAATGAAAATTAGTTTTTTTTAAAGACTCTATTTGGGACAAAAATACGCATTAACAGGATTCCTTTATTCTGGAAAAAGGGAGTACATAACAAAACAAAACAATCAAATAACAAAACAAAACAGAGAAGATAATCTCGTGTAACATGAATCCAAAATTCATATGCAACTGAGACTCAGATCCATACGAGTTCATTGATGAAACAGAGAATATAACAAACATTTACAAATGCAAACTAAACCCTCACCTTTAGTTTTAACAAAAGCAAACTGACTAGATTCTGCAGTATTCCTTTAATTCCTTCGTCCAAAATAACACAGAAAAATAATCTGTAACCCTACAGAAATTCCCAAAAATAAACAAGGAAATTAACAATCCGTAAAACCCTAACTTGTCAGAAATTAGTGGTCAATGATCATCAGAATCGCACATCAATCTAAACCCATTAAAATCTACTTCCTTCCGGACCCTAATTTTAAATTTAGAGGGGAAAAAAATCCAGCAGGATAAGCACATGCGTGTATGCATTGTATATATACATGTTGATACATATATAGATAGATATCCCTACAAATTTCAGAAAAACTTCATCAAAAACACGATCATATGTCCAGGAATATGCCAGAAAACTAACAAAAAGTCCAGGTTGATCAGGCAGGGGAGATCCCAAAAAGGAAATAAGAGAGAAATCTCCAAGAAAACATTTTAGAGAGAGAATGGGAGATTACAATGGCCTGTTGTTTTGATGGTGGTGCTCTTGGAATGATTTATTTTTTTAAAAATAAAAATACAAATAAATACTGTGTAATATTTGAGGTTGGTTAGTACAGCAACTTAATTAGTATCCCTGACTATAGATGGTATATTCTTTAAGTGTCAATTTGTTTTTATTTTTAAATTCATCCCTCAAAAATAAAGTTCTCATTTCGGTTTAATGCTAGATATTTTATTCAAACTACTTTCGACTCGGTTTTTGAAAATTTTCTTTTATTAAAATACGAGTAAAAATTATTAATTAAATTGCATTAATGGTCCGTTTGCTACACGAAATTAGAATTGAATTGGAATTTGAATTTTATGAAATTGAATTTGATAGAATTGAATTCTCCAATTCCAATTCAATTTTTACACTACCGTATCCAAGTCCACATATTTTGTGCTACCAAACAACATTATTAGAATTGAAGTCTCCAATTTTAAATTTTATTACTGGTATCCGTGTACCAAATGAAGTCTAATATTTTCACGTATTCAAAAAAAGAGTTTCACAAAACATGATGAACGGGCAATATTATTGGGTAAACAACGCTAGTATCCCATTTGGTTTATGAAATGAGCACCAATAACCTCTCTTTTCAAAATTTACCTATAAATCCTCATTTTTTAAAAAAAGTTGCATGTATGTCTCTTCTATCGGTAAATTTCCACTATTTGTATTTCGTGCTTCAGAGTGCGGCTGAAGTTTAATAGTAGCAGGCATTGGTGTCCAATTTCCAACCATAAGAGCATCAGTGAGCATCACTAATGAAGGGAGGAATATGATGATGTGGATGGGGGGAAAGTGAAGAATGATTAGAAACGATAGAGGAATAGATGAGAGAGATGAGAATGCAGGAAATATTATTCCCTAGAGAGAGAAAATAAGTGATTGGTTAACTTTATTTATTGTGTTTTTTGTTTTTTTGTACAAATAAGAAGACATCATGTGGAAAAAGTAATTAAAAAAGTAGCAGAAAATTACTCACGGGTGATGCGAGTTTTGTTGAAATAACTCCCAGGTCCCTCTATTTTCAAGAAGACAGCAGAGGTCCTTACATTTTGTTGTAATGACTAGAAGGGGACATTTCATCCAATATTTATCTATAAACGTTAATAAATTTATTTTTTTCTTATTCTTTTCTAAATGTTTTAAGGTAATAAATCTTAGGTCGCTCCTTTTTTTATTTCTTTGTTTTTCTTTCATTTTGTTACTATTTTTTAAAGTGTTATTTTAGAATTTCTTCTATAAAATCGTATAAAAATTCAAAATTATTTGTATTATATTTAAAAAAATGAAATAAAAAAATTTTAAAAAAAAGAAAAAACAAGGTAATGGCAAAATAAGAAAAAACGGTATTGGAAAAATAGGAAAAAAATACATTTATTAACACTTACGGATGATGTATTGGATAAAATGTCCCCTCCCAGTCATTTCAACAAAATATAAGGACCTCGGTTGTCTTTTTGAAAATAGAGGGACCTAAAAGTTATTTCGACAAAACTCGCGTCACCCGCGAGTAATTTTCTGAAAAAGTAGGGAAATGTTTAGAGAAGGGTAAAGAAAAAATGAAGCAGAAAGTGATGTGGTATTGAAAGTAGATGATGTGGGAGAGGAATAAAGAGGGCACAATTCCTTATTTTCATTTTTACCCATTTTTGGTTCATTTTTTTATTTCTCATTTTTCTTCTTTTAATTTCTTTTTATATAATTTTTTTAAAATTTCTTTTTTAAACATAATTTTTTAATGTCGATGTTTGAAATAAAAAATAAGTTAGATTCAAAACTAACATATATTCCGGGTCTCAATTTTTTTTGGTTTTCGAAAAAAAAAAGGGAGGGAGAGGCTTTCAAAAGAGGAGAGAATATAAAATAAAATAAGAATAGAAAGAGATACAAAAAATACTCTTATGAAAAAAGAGAAAATATAGATATGGAGTGCATTGAGCATTGATATGGTTCTTTTTCTAGACATCCAAACGAAGTCTTTATTTGTTTAGGTATCTCAAAAAAGGTTTTTTTTTAATAAAAAAGACAATTGTTTTCATTTTCTTATCCGGTTGGGTTCGGTCCAAAAAATTCTCTTTTTGTTGTCCTAAAAGAATCTTATAAAAAAATTAATTTTTTAGATGTTCAAAAAAAATAACATTATCGTATGAGTATTTTTTTCATTATCGTATCAACGAACACACTTCATGGATTTTCTCATTTCAGTATGAGTATTTTTTCATTTTTTTGTGAAATTTGTACTAAATAGTACTAAAACATATGTCATTCACAATATAGTATTTAAAATTTTTTTAATTTCCTAGATAGTACTTGAATAAAGTCTAGTGACAAAAACAATATTCAGTGAATGTGGATATTTGGTTTGAAGAATGACTAGTGGTACTACACTGAGAAATAAAAACATATGGTATTACATTAGAAAAGTCATTATGTTTTAATACTATTTGGGTAATTTCCCTTCTATTTTCTATTTTTTCTTTTATTTTTCTTTTTCTCATTTTTATAAGGTCCCAAAAAATATTTTCTTTTTATTTTGGAATACAAAAAAACAAAAATATGTAACTCGAGACATGTGAAGTATACGTTATTCTTTTATTTAAGTTATTTTTTATTTCAAACAGAGCCAATTTACAAAAAAAATGTCTAAAAAGGAAATTAAAAAATGAAAAAAAAAAAGATAATGGGCTCTAGTGCCCTTAAGATTTGAGAAATTCACACAAATGTTCCATCTTCGCTATATATAAAAAATAAACATATTGGTGTAGCCTCTTGAAATCATAAAGTTTTTATAAATATGTTTGGAAATAGATATGACATTAGTGTCTATTCTCTAAATCACATAAGACACTGGATCGGAGATATTTTCTCCTATTTTATTTTATCAAAAAATCAATAAAAATGTATAAATAAAGAACATAAAATCTGACTATGTGAATAATAAATTAAACCTTTATTGTGAGACAGATGAAGTACAATAGTCATTAATGGATTCTTCAAAAAAAGTATTGTCTCAAAATAAAATATCTTTTCGCTTTATAAAAAGTTACTATTAATTACACATTTTAACTAAATATTTGGATATAATACAAAAAATGATTCTATTATATTTATCATACGAAAAAAATATTATAAATTTATTTCATTGTATTAATATGTCATGCAAATTTAATGTTAAAGTTAATCTAATTTGACTCGAAACTAAACAAACACTTTCATACATAGAAAATATGTGATTATACGTTATGGCAAACAAGGAAGGTTCATGCTTCTTTACAATCAAATAGAGGTAGAAAACATTTGATTTTGAAACTCGTGGTTCTTAATCTTTTAAGGACTCAAGATCTATTATGACTGACTCGATTTCAGTTTGGTTGCACTAGTAATTCTAATTCTAATCTTGTATTATCTTTAATAAAATAAAGATTCATCATATTTCACATAAGTCATATCAAATTATCTAATTTTAACAATAGAAGTGTTTGAACTATCTTGATCATTCGTTAAAAGGTTACCGAATCAAGTTGTTCGTTTTTATCTAGGGCAACTGGTCATTCATTAGAATTGAAGGCCACACCCGCATCTATATTTGTAGTGTTTTACGTACTGATATTATAAATTAATGAAAAAGTTCTTTTTTCGAAAAGAAAAAATTGTTGATACTCTTTGTGAAATTTGGAAACGGAATTGAAATTTACAATTTTGATTAGAAAAAATAAAACTTTTCAAAAACGAAAAAGGCGTGCCCTAAAAATTGATTATTTTGATATTATTTTCTAATTACGACTCATCTATACTTCACGTCATACTCTACTTTATTACTACATCTGTCATATAATGATCTTCTCAGTTACCATTCACATGGTCAAACTTTAATCAATTTTTTTACCCATTATTGTTATTTACTTGATAAAATAATATAGTCACGTCACCACTTGTTTCGTAGATTTTTTTATTTAGTTTTGAAATATACAATTTTTATTTTTTAATTATACACCTCTAATCAAATAAATTGAATTAAAAATAATTTTAGTCAAACATTGTAACAAGAATTGAGAAGATCATTTTAGCACGAAGAAAGTATAAAGTAATGGCAAAATCAAAAAAAAAATAATATTAAAATTGTACATTTTTAAGAAGCATTTTTTTCTTTTTTGCAAATTTTTATACTTCTTCCGTCCCATTTTATATTGTCTGTATTGAAATTGGAGCATATTTAAGGATGTGAAAAAATACTATTGTTTTTCCAAAAATGCCTTTACTTCTTTAGGAGGGTCGCGATGAATGAGAAGACATGGTGGAGAGGATTGTTTTATTTTAGGGATATTTTAGGTGTTTAGTATAATAAGAAATAGACAACCTATTTTAGGACAGATAAAAAGAAAAACAGACAATTTAAAATGGGACTAATAGAGTAGTACTTGAGCATGAAAGTGAACAGCACCCATTTTCAGTTTTAATTCCGGTCGATTCTCTTCAGAACAGCCGGCCGGTTCATGTTCCCCTCTCCTCTCCGTCTTCGATTCTCTGTTTCCCACTCTCAGATTCTCACTCGCCGGCGTCATTCTCGCTAAAGCTTCAGCACCCGAAGCAGTGTTCCGGTATGTAAACAGAACCTCTAGCTCACACTCTAATCTTTTCTCGAACTTTTAATTGCAGATCTGTAAATCGTTATTAGAAATCTTGGTTTCATTTGGAAATGCTTGTTGGTATTTGAAAATATTCTCAAAATCAGACATAGTTCGCAGTCTTCCATCTCGATTTCATGCCGATCGATCGCCGTCCCCGGGTCGTGCTCTCAGGCGCGGTCATCACCAGCGACCGGCGTCCGGCATCCTTCTTCAGGCATCATCTTCTCTCCTCCGTTCCCCTTCTTATCTGTAATCTGTATGTTCCATGTCTCTCAGCCTCTCTCTCTCTCTCATTCTCTTTGTCTAAGTCTCTCTCTTTCCTCTTCCAATTGTGGGCTGTTTTGGCTATTTTAATTTGTAGGGCACTTGGTTATTGTGTGATTAGTTTAATTAAGCCTGGGTTATTTGAAATTGGCGCGCAGTGTAGTGGAAGAAATGTCTTCATCTGGTTCAGCTTCAATTAACAAAAACTCTGAAGTTGATTGTGATGGAAAGTTACCATTGTGGAAATACTTCAAAGTATTGGACATTTTGTTGTTTGAAACATATCATGGTTGTGTTTGAGACATTTTGATGTTATGGGTTTAATTTATTTAAAAATAAGATAACTGATATATTTCGTGAATATTTCTAACATAAATACATGCATCTTACAATGAAATGAATAATACAAATAAAAAATGTATAAATACATTTGCCGCACCCGCACCCTATTTTTTTTTGAAAATTTCCGAACCCGCGCACCGGTCGCCGCACCCGCACCTGTGCTTCATAGAGCACAACCATCCCTTTTAGCATGTGTATCTTATATGATGCCCATGTAGTGCTTTGATTTTATTACTTTACATGTAGTTTAAAAAAAGTGTTTGAGATCATCTTGGTGCTAAGACTATTATTCTTCCCACTCCAGGGATGGGGATCTGTGAATTTAACCGGGTTTGCTAAGAATATTAGTGCTTGAATACTGTTTGAGATCATATTGGGATAAAAAACCGAGCACAAAAAAAAAACTGTATGTACAATTGTTCTCTTTTCCCACTTAATGTAAACACGATGTAAATAAGCTATTTGAAATTTTGGGAGTAGCGGACATAGTTTTTGGAATCTTGGAAATATGAGTTTGTTTGTTTGTTTTTTCTCAAATTACGACTCTCTTCATAGATGTATTCTATCTTGTGCATTTATTGTTCATTTGTTATTTTTTCTGTGCTTTCACTGCTTTATGTCCTCTTTTATTATTTTTGTTGCTTGAGTTTGGGGTCTCTTGGAAACAACCTCCTTACTTATGAGTAGGGGCAAGGTCTGGGTATACACACTCTCCCTCCCAGACCCTACTCTCATGGGATTCAATTGGGTTGTTGTTGTTGTTGTTGTTATTTTAGTGAGTTTTTTTGTACGGCCCAAGTGAAAAGCACAAGCTCTGATTGATGGATTAGAATTAGTTAATAACAAGCAATTGAAATGTATAGTCAGTCCGGACCAGTGTGGAGTTTTAGGTTCAGTCTTAAATTTGGTTCATTTCAAGTCAGACCGGTTTAGTCCAGTTTTGGACAAATTATTATCATAAGCATCGTACTACGCGGCCATATTGAGATCACGAGCTCCCAATGCTAAATTTTTTATACATTTTCTATCCATGAACCCAAACGTTGGTTCAGAATCAGACTGTTTGGTTATCGTTGACGGATCTATCTGCTTCCCCTCTTCTTTGGTATTAGGGTCGTATAGCATTGAGGTTGATTGGGCTAGGTTTCAGTGAAAGATGCAGTTCTTTGGAGGATCAGAGATCAGCCCGTCGCCACCTCCACCAACTGCACCAGGGAACAATGCACATATGTTGTATGTGTTCAATCGAAATGGAGTTTGCCTACTTTATAGGGAATGGAATCGTCCCCTAAAGACTCTCAGTGCTCAACAGGATCATAAGCTGATGTTTGGTCTCCTATTCTCCCTCAAATCCTTAACAGCCAAGATGGATCCCACCAGGTTGGATTTTCTTTCAGTAATACGATTGGCATTTTAGATGGAATGATATTTTGCCATTTCAATCCAATTGTTCAGAATGGTTTGTGTTGACTATTTTCTGGAGATTCATAATTCAGGCCACGTTATGTAGACATGTTCTGTCCATATTTGGATGATAGTAACCAAATCAAACCAAACAAGCCTACTATATCCAGAGTAGGGTCTAGAAGGCAGGATGTTCTGGAATCTTAGCTCCACGAAAGTAGTAGCCCGAAAAGACCTGGCAAACAATGATGCATTTCATTAGTCAATGAATGTGAAGCGCCAAGTATAGCTGTTAATCTTGTAAAATGTAAACAGTTTTTTTCTACAACTTTTTGTCTCTTGAATTTTACATTGTTATGCTCTTATCATCCTGGGCAGTTTGGATAAAGGAAACCTTGGAGTGCCACAGTTACCCGGACAAGGTTGTTCTTTCCACAGTTTTCGTACAAATACATACAAGCTTAGTTTCATGGAGAGTCCATCTGGAATAAAGGTTTGTTGTTGTTCTATCTTCCTCATTTCACACACGCACACACAGTTTTGCTCCAAGACTATTTTGGATTCACCGCTTATTATATCGAAGAACTTAGTGCACTTGCTGCTCATATGCATATATGCAGATCATCCTCGTGACACATCCAAGGACGGGTGATTTAAGGGACTCGTTGAAGTACATTTACAACTTGTATGTTGAGTATGTTGTCAAGAATCCACTTTATTCGCCTGGAACGCCTATTAAGTGAGTGATTCACATACTTTTCATATTTAACACTATGGAGTGGTGTGATGGTTCTAATAATTTTGTAGTTCAGCATCACCTTCCAAGTTCCAATACTCTGCCAATTCTTTAGTTCAAGTGTTATAAGAATATATGCTGTGTCAATTCAAACATCCTTTGAAGATCACCAAAGTTTGGGACTTTGTTGCGCAGAACATGACCACCTATACTAGATCTTCATATCATTCATTAGAACAATACGCCTTGAACATATATATGATGATAAATTTGATCTCCATTTGCAAGCATGGAAGTCACTGATGCTATGTTTGTATCTGCAGATCCGAGCTATTTAACAGTGCTCTCGACCAGTATATCCGAGGGATCGGATGACGCACCAAGGTGCCAGCCGACCTTTGTCTGTCTTTTAATGTTTATCGCTTTAAGTGATTGTAAAGAAAACAAAAAAAGATTACCCCAAATGCTAAATGTGTCGTACTCGTTTGACAATTTTTTTAAGACGATTTGAACACTGATTTCAGCAGGATGTTGTCCAAATGAGATGTCTAAATTAAGACCCGAGCTCTGAGGATCGACTAAATATCATTGATCATGCCGGGTTCGTACTCGCTGTGGTTGATTCAAAGCTCATACCTTTTTTTTTTGTTTTTGGTTTTTTTGTAATACTCCCATCACATATTCACATGTTAAACTATGATACAGTCCCATCTTTTCTCTAGTGACATTGCTTATGATGTTCACTTGTGGAATATGGAGTAATCTCTATTTACACAGCATCATTCATTTATAAGCTGTATTTGTGACCTTTTCTTTTGGCATGGATATGTGATTTTTTTTTTTCAATCTAAATATTGAACAGACTGTTAAATGCATGCATTATTCGATATTATTTGTAAAATATTAAAGATAAATGTTAAAATTAATGACAAATGGAGCGTATTATGACGGAGTAATTTTTTCAAATTGTATTTTAAGGAATGGAAAAATATTTTTATCAATTCAAGTATTCATCAATATAACATACGGAGTACTCGGTACTTCATACTCCATGATATAAAGTGTTGAAAATGAAAAAAATTGCGGTCCTAACTCCTGATCTATTTAGAGAAAGAAATATTGTGATTCTATATATCTGTATCGGTACATCCGAACTTTAGAAATATGAAAAACTAATAATACAACACTGCAATAGTATGAGGAATTCACTTAAATAGTATTAAAATATATTGATTTTTCTAATGTAGTATCATATGTTTTTATTTTTCAATGTAATATCACTACTCAATGTCCACTGGTCATTGTTCAAATAAATGCTCACCGTCACTGGACATTGTTCAAACTAAATGTCAATCATCACCTGATATTGTTCTTGCCACTAGACATTATTCAATACGGAGTACTATTTAGGAAATTAAAAAATTCAAGTGCATTGGGTAAAGACATATGTTTTAGTACTATTTAGTGTAAATTTTACAAAAAGTATAGAGTATATGAAATTCTATGGGAAGAGATTAAAATTGTATTTAAAAATATGGACAAGTTCAAATTAAAGTTGATGTATTTTAAAATTATACGGAGTACAATTTTTTTTAATTGTTGCTATATGGATCATTATTATGACTAAATCCACTCCATTTATTATTAAATGGATAGTTTTATCTTTAAAACCCATTTAAGATTTTTTAGATATTAGCCAATTGAAAGGACAAATTTGTCAATTTAATACTCCATCCATCTCCATGTTGATTATAATTTTTTTTCTCTCCTCTCGATAACTTTTGTTTATTTACGCGATTTCATTAAGTATTTGATGAAACAAAATATTCTTATCACCTCTTGTTTTGTAAAACTTTTGACATAATTTTTTAACATAAATTTTTTATCTTATTAAAATACCAACTTGTAAATAAATATAACAAATTCCATTCTAAAATGATCAAATGAAAAACATGTATAAAAAAAATACTCGTTAGACCGGAAAGCCGAAAAAATAGAAGTAGCGTTGAGGAAGGAAGGAAGAGGGGAGATGGCGAGTCAGTTGGAAAACCCTAAAAATCCCCCCAAGCTAAACCCCAACTGGGCTGAGCTATGTCAAGTACTATACTCCATCTCTTCCTACTTTTATGAATCTCATTTCCAAATTCAATCCGTTTTCATCTGCTCTTCACCGTTTTTTTTCTTCTTCTGCTTTGCAGAAGCTCAAAATCAATGGCTCCAGGAAGCCCACCTTAAATTCTTCCCGGGAATCGAAACCAGATGCCCAGAATATCGTATTGGGTAACGTTCAGTTCTTAAGAATTTACCTTTGTTCTTTCCTGCGTTTTTTAATTGTTGTGGTTGTTTGAGCATAATATTTAGTATGGGAAAATAAAGATAAAAATATGGAATATTTCATGAAACGAGATTGCAGGGAAGCGAAAAGATAGGCCTCATGAACAAGCTGGTGATTCTCAGCCCAACCCTTTGGAGCCTACATCCTCTGATTTCAGGTGCATTGTTTTTTGCTTAGTTTTAGGGAAATGATGCCCATGTTTTTAAGATATAATGTGCTGTAATTTTTTTTTAAATTACAAATTATAATGACCTTCTAACAAATGCATCAAAAACTAATTTTGTACAAATTGAAGTTATAAGCTCATTTAATCTGCATTTTTTATTGAATGCAATGTCAATATTATAAAGACGTCGTTTCTTCTGACACCAACGCTTGGTGTCATAATATTACATCAATCCTTTTGGGGCCCCTACAATGCTCTGTTAGGTTTGGGACCGGATCATTCCCCTAACCCACTTTACAAACCCATCCACCACCCTCGTTGGGCTTGGGTTAATGAGGGTGATTTAGGGGTAGGATCTGGCCCCCCTTCCATTTTTTTGTTCATCTGCAAAACGAATCTTGGTGCATGTTTTTTTGGATGATATTTTGCTGATTTGCTATACTGCAGTGTTACAGATGTGATCGCAATGGATTGCGAAATGGTTGGTGTAAGCTCTCTCGGTAACAAGAGTGCACTTGGTCGAGTTACATTGGTATTAATTTCTCTTTTGCTTCTAGCAGGATCACTCCCATACACACCAATTTCTTTATTTTACATGCAATTCTTTCACTATTTCACACTAAAATATAACATTTTGAAGTGAACGTGTTGTCCCCAGAACTAAAGGGTAAATAAAACACATTTTATTTTGTATTTTCAGTATATAATTCCCTCTGCCCTCAAAAGTTTGAAAAATTATTTTTTTTTCTTAAAATAGAATCATATACTCATATTTGAACATAAAAATGCAGTCTTCACTATATTTAATGGCGTGTTTAATAGAAAGGCTTCCCAAATGAGTTGATTTTGTTAAATTTTGTTAAAACAACAAATAAACTTTTAAACATAGTTATGTTTGATGATTTCGAATTGGTGTTCCTTACTAGATTCAGAAAGTTGCACATTTGTGAAACATGGCTCTTTATACAAAGGGTTTAGCATTTTACTGGAAAAAAACAAACCTTTTAGGAAGTACCCATGATTTATTTTCATTTTTAGAAACACAAAACCGAATACTCATTAACAAACAAAAAAGGAGGGTCCAGGCATCATGAAGCGGGCTGCCGCCTATGATTTTCGATCACTGCTTTTAGAATGTGATATACTCGTAGTTCTGATACTTGTTGATTGGTTTCTTTATATATTTTCTGATTGCAGTATGTGTCATTGCAGGTAAACAAATGTGGAAATGTTATATATGATGAATATGTCCGCCCAATGGAATATGTTGTTGACTTCCGCACCAAAATTAGTGGAATCAGACCGCAGCCCTTGAAGAAAGGTTGAACCTTATTAGCACGATATCTGCAAATAAAGTGACCCCCTCCAGCGCAAAGAGCCTCTTTTAAAATTCATATGTTCCAAAAAGTCCTTTTTGGACAGAAGTTGTTTTGAGTCGTCCATCCATCACCATCTGTCTGAGAATTTAAAATTTGTCAGCGCTAATTTTTATGTCTAAAAATAGCTCTTCATGAAATTGACCCGTTAGTCAACATTAGCATTTCACCTTCTTCGATGGAGGCATCTTTCTGCTTCAAAACATGTCTTCCATCTTCCAGACAAGTGTTCTGTCGGCAGAAAAATCTTAGCCCTTGAAATACAGTAATACTATAACAAGAAACACTTTCATATGTTGGGATGGGGATAGAGATGCACTTTTGTTGGTTGATGGGCCTGCTGTGACAGAGGTCCTCATTGATCATACACGGAAGTTGTCATAAGAAGGTTATCAGCATCCATTTAAGGGATGTCTTCTTCTTTGGACGGGTTCTTGACAAAAATATGAGGGCACTTTTTACTAGCCATTTCTGCAACTCGCCACTGTAGAGAACTGCAGCTTTCCGGGGTTAATCCATTAAAACAAGAATCCTCTAGGAATAGGATAAAACTCAAACCTTTGACCCCATATCAACATTCACGAGCACTGCCCTTCATTCGAAAAATTTGAAGCAAACATATATGCTCAAATCCAGTCAAGAACCTTAGATTGATATTTCCAATGCAGAAATTCCTGAGATTGGAATATGATCACTGGGCTTAAGAGGGAGCTATGAACGGAGATAAAAATTGAAAAAATGGAGGGTATCAATGAAGAAAAGCATGGAGTATAAAATAGATGTTCAAATGTAGATGTAGTTGAGAGGTGTGACACATCCCCACAATGTAGATGGATCATGAGGTAAAGATGGGCTTTTGGATGTCAACGATAAGTAAGGGAAATGTTTAGATCCAAAAGTTGCATTTGACAGATTTTTTAGCCAAACATAAGTTGAGGGTTATATGTGCTCCTTGACATATCATTGAAGGGTATATGTGTTCTCTATGCCATTTAAAGATATAGTAGCTATAATTTATATTTCATATAGGTTTACCTTGTTAGAACTAAAAGAGAACTCATTTTTTCGGAGGGAGCTAGTACAAAAAAGCTTGGGCCAGTGAAAGGGTCATGCAAAAGGTTGGTGAATGCTAGTCTAATGTTGAGTCTGTTGACAGCTTGACATTTGGTGTTTTACTAAATTCTATAGCATTCCTCAATCCTTTAATGCCTACAGTTTCTTTCAATTTGTTAACCTTTCAGATCAGATATTCAACAAATAATGATAAACAGTTTGACTTATTTTCCTTCTTGTCTCTTATTTGAAGTAAGTAGGAATGCATGGCCCCCCATTCCATGTGTGTATACCCCCCCCCCCCCTCCCAAAATAATCGGATGGGATTAAGTGGGGTTGTTTGGTTCGGTTTAATGCAAAGAAAGTTATGAACTCAATGATTCCTAAGAACTTAAATCTAACCTTTTTTTTGCAGCAAAGAATTTCAACGCTGTGCAGACAAAAGTTGCAGAGCTTATTAAAGGAAGAGTTCTTGTTGGCCATGCTTTGCACAATGATCTCAAAGTTAGTATAAGAATTTCACACAATTTGCTGAAGCAGTACTTCGTGCTATCTTGAAAACTGTTTTTCTATGTAGGCATTGCTATTAAGTCACCCGAAGAATGATATCCGTGATACATCTGAGTACCAACCTTTCCTAAAGTAATTTTCTCCACTGTGCTTTTTGTACACCGGCCTTTGAAGTCTGTTTACTAGGGAAAGAAAATAGTTAAGAAAATTGGAAGGAAATAAAATTTGGCATTTCTTTGGAAGATAGACTCAAGCTCAAAACATCTAAAGTTTTGGATAATTGTTCATACTCATAATGAAGACTAGGAAATAATCATCATCAGCTCTGCATTAATCACAACTAGTTGGGTTTGGAAGCATAAAAAGTAATATATTCAATTTTCAATGGTACTCCCTCTGTCCATGTGTATTTGTCTAGTTTGATTTTTTCGAGTCAAACTAGACAAACTTTGAGCTTTAGTTAAATAAAAGTCGTAATGTATTTTAGCATAAAATAATTTTACTAGATTTATCTTATTGAAAACTTCTAAAATTTATTTTATGATACTATCATGCAAAACAAATTGTGAGCAATTAAAGCTCAAAGTTTGTCCTATTTGACTTGAAAACATCAAACTGGACAGATACATTGGGACGGATGTAGTATTTTACAAGGTAGAAGTCTAAAACATAAGAAAATTACTTTCTTTAGCAATTTCTGTTTCACTTTCCACGCCATTTTCCTAGATCCAAAATACATGTCTTGTTGAATATTGGAGAATATTGTTTTGGTCTTGTAGCTTTTCGTATCTGATTATGCCATTCAGCCATTTTCATTTCAGTGCAATAATGTTTCTCAATTATTTAAAAAGTGATCAATGAGGGATTACATAAAATCCCGACGTAGTACTGTCTGAATTTCGGCATTTTATGATGATGCAGAGATGGGCGCAGTCGTGCACTTAAGAGTCTTGCAGCCGAAATTCTCGGAGCCGGTATCCAACAGGGGGAGCACTGCCCGGTTTGTCTTTCACGTCTAGAATACTTTCTTTCTTGATGCTAAAAGAAGCTGAAACAATCAAACGAACAAGCCACTGTTTGTGTTGTTTGCTAGTTGCCAGTTTTTAGTTTCATATTTTCAAAAGGTATTATATGATATACAACAACATCATCATCAACAACAACAACAAACACAGTAGAATCCCACAAGTAGAGATGAGGTGCTACATGATATACTCTACAATCATGCTAATTTCTGAAAGTGTCAATATAAAAATGAGAACTCCTTTTCCTACAACAACCTACCCAGTAAATTTCAAATATGAGGTCCCCGGGGTGGGTAGATATTAGAGAGGCTGCTTTTGAAAGATTTTCGGCCCTTAAGGACAGAAAACCACTTTCCTGGTCATCAAATTCTGGTTTTTAGTTACAAAAAAAAAAAAAACTGAAAACGTGCATAAAGCTCGAAATTACTGTGAGAGTATTTTTTTTTGTTATTGTTTTTTTTCTCTTTCTCAGGTGGAAGATGCCCGTGCTGCAATGTTCCTTTACTTGAAACACAGCAAGCGGTGGGAAAAGCATGTAAAAGATTTCACAAGGATGAAGAAGAAACAGGGAACCCGAAAACCGAAGAAGAAGAAGAAGAAGCAGAGAGGTGTAGGAGAAGATCAACCAGCACCAGAATGATGCCCAGGCGTTGGGTACTGCCATCTTTTTCTCTTTCTGCATGAATCTGTTCTTCAACACAGAAGAATCCTTATTACCGAGTCTGAAGATTTGCGTTGTTAGTCCTTGTTGAAGCCTGAAGAGGGAAAGCAATTCAATGCCATTTTGCTTTATCTGCAAGCTTTCAAGGTTTTGGACTTTCAGTGGCATCTTTTTTCTATTTTTACTGGCTTTGGAGCTCTTTTAGCTCTAGTTCATAAGCTCTAAATGCCTAATTGTGATTAGGTCTTTAGTTTGGATTTTAAAAAACTTGTACGAGTAAAAGTTTACCAAAATTTTTAAGGAAAAATTACTTCATTACTTTCAGAGCACGATTTTACATATATACTCTAATATCTAATAAATGACATTGATGCTCTCACAATTGTCATATGTTTACATCAATATTCCAATATTCACATATGTTTACCTCAGTGTTCCAACTTCGGGAGCCTGATATAAATATATACTACTTATTCGTCTAGTTTCTCTTTTTTAAATCAAATATGACAAACTTTGAAGTTAAATTAAATAAAAATTGTAATGTGTATTCTTGTCGAGAAATTTTAGAAGTGTATTTCATTATATTAATATCGTCAATGGCTTTAGAATTTCATGTCATGGGATGACTCGGGAGCGCTCTAGTGTCCCATTCTGAAAATTGACGATACTTTTCTCCCTAACCCCTTGGTAAATTCTCCCATCCCGTCTCGATCCGAACACAGCCCCTCCTACCTCCTTCAATTACATCTCAAGTTAATTTTGACTTTGGAGTCAATATTATTAATTTCAAAGTCAAAATTAACTTGGGGGTATTGAAAGGTGGGGGTGTGTTCGGATTGGAGCGGGTGGTGGGATAGGGGATAAGAATCGTCAATTTTACGAATTGATAATAATTAATGTTTAAAGTTTGTTAAGTTTGACTTCAAAAATATAAACTAGATAAATATGCTGGGACAGAGAAGATATATATTTTGGAGCATCGATGTAAAGACCTTCATATGAAGATAATCTAAAAAAGTAAATACCATGAGCATAGATTCCAATGAAAATCAAACTCTTTCGTGAGATTAAATTATTGCAACCATCAAAATGTGTAAAATGAAAAATCTCAAACAAGTATCTATAATAATTGCCAGAGCTCAAACATATCGTTCACCCACCCATTAGGCGATCGATCAATTGGTCTTTGCATCAGTAGGCATAGGGAAGAGGCCCGCTCCAGCAGCAGCTCCGCGGGGTGGTGAAAACCCAAGAAACTTCTGGAGATTGGTGCGAATGCTTATCGAGCAGAGAAAGTACAAAAATGCCATTGAACAATCAGTCATGTCCTCCCCCGGCAACCCGCGGTGGCTCATCTTCTGAACAAGCCTGATGGGCACAAACGGCAATTTCGCAACCGGTTTCCCCTCAAACAGGTTGTTCAGAAACCCAAAGACAAGGAAGAGAACCACCGCGACCACGAACCCCGATTTGAACTTGAAGAGTGAGAGGTCGCGGCTGGACTCCTTGAGCGCGGTCTCGACCCGGTCGATTTTCTTGGTTTTGGACTTCTTGGAGGTGAGAGAGACGGTGGGATTGGATGATGATTCGAGAGTTCTCATGGTCTCAAGCTTCTTGGATGCCTTGTCGATGGAGGACTTGAGGGACTTGTAGGAGGCTGTGCGGTAGATTAGAAGCCAGGAGATGGCTTCGCATATGATTGCAGTGCAAATTGAGATTCCAACGACTGTGATGCTGTCGGAGTAGCGGAGGCTAGATAACGATCTCGGCGCCATCTATACAAAAAAGAAATGACACTCATTACTTATTTTTGTTTTAAAATGCAGATTACAAAAGATTTAGGGGCTGTTTGTTTCAGCCTCTTAATGGTTCAGATGTTTGAATGGTTCAGCACTTAATGGTTCAAACTGTTTGTTTCGTGAGCAGATGTCTGAATGGTTCAGACATTTGCCTCTGAATGGTTAAGTATTATACAGAGTCTGAATGGTTAAGACTTCTTATCTGAATTGATCAGACATTTGCCTCTGAATAGTTAAGCAATATACTAGCTCTTAAGGTTCAGACCTCTTACTGGTTCAGCACTTAATGATTCCAACCTCTTACTGGTTCCGCACTTACCTATTCAGAAGTTGCCAAATAGCCCCTTACTAATCAACAATCTTTCACATCAACAGCCCATTAATAAAAATGCACAGCATCTTCATAAAGGTATGTCTTTACTTGGCATTTCTATGTTCTATACGAGTAAGATTTTTTTAAATAGATGTACAGAAGTAAACAAGTAGTACCTGAAAACACAAATATGCCAGGGAATATCAAAGGGCCATTATGCTAGGTGAAAATGTTCTCTGAATAGACCAGACAAACCCACTAAACATCACATAAATAGAATCAGAAACAAAAAACCACTCAAAACATATGTACATACACAAACCAAAAAAAATACACATGTTATCCTGGGCCAAAACAGAAAAAAGACCAAGCCTTATCCCTTATGGTCTAACAAATTAATATATGTAAACTAATTATATTTAAATAATAATTAACGCAATATTATTAGAGGAAAAAAGTAAATTAATATATCATAAATTCATATCAATTCGTCAATTTTTATATTTTTTGTTTTTCAGTTTTAATTTTTTTATATGTCATAAATTCATATCAGTTTTTCAGTTTTTAAATTTTTTTAGTTTTCAGTTTTTTATGAATAAAATTATAAGTATATCATGAATTCAATTCATCCAAATCAAATAAAGAACATATAGAACCATTAATTCATCCTATTTCATAGCAATTAGCAAAGATTTCTAATTAAAGTTCAATAATTAACCCTAGATTTTAAATCTTAATAATGAAAAAATGAAAGAAAAAAATTACAAAATTGGAAAACTATGAATACGGAATACCTGGAGGCTGGAGGGTCGGCTCCCGGCGGGGTCTGGACTCTGGCGGCGGCGGCGTCTCTCTACCGGCAGTTTTCCGATTTGGCTATTTTGCTCAGTCGGCCTCCCTACCTGCGTTTATTTTTTCTTCTTTGTGTACGGGTAAGAAGGATGGTGACTAAAAGAGACGGGCCTTGGCATATTGGGCTATGGGCTTCTTATATTCATATATAAAATATTTAAAAAAATTGGGTTCCTTAAATTCATGGGCCCAGTCCGAACGGACTATTGTCCTCCTATTGGGCCGGCCTTGTGCATAGTGTAACAACATCCTACTATATACAATGCTAGGTGCAATTTGTGAACATTATTCCCGCCTAAAGTGATGACTTGGTGGACGGGTTTGGGCCTGTTTGGTGGACGGGTTTGGGCCTACTTGGTGGGCGGGTTTCTGCTTTTGTGAACATAAAATTTGCTTTATGTCTATTCAATTTAGTTTTTTTTTTGTAAAATTGCATTAGGGAACAAAAATTTATTGGCTCCATAAAATTGATTTGATTATGTCAAAAGTTAATGCAGAAGAACGAGTTTACTTCAGTGCAGATTCTGTGTGTCAATCAGATATGACCTATAGTTTAATTGGGGATATACACACCACCGAATTCTGAAACACTATAAAGTGTTCTGGGGTCCCCAATCATGAAATACGACTAAAGGTCGGGACACCAATAATGTTGTTGCGTAATATTGACCATGCTAATGGCCTATGTAATGGAACAAGACTTATTGTTACAAGGCTTGTGGATCGAGTTCTAGAAGCAAAGGTTATAACTGGAAATAATGCTGGGGAATATATTTTACTGCCAAGAATCTCATTAACACCGTCTGATACAAACTTGTCTTTCAAATTTCAAAGAAAACAATTTCCTATCATGGTTTTTTATGCCATGACAATAAACAAGAGCCAAGGACAATCGCTTTCAAAGGTTGGAGTGCTACTTGAGAAACCAGTTTTAAGTCATGGACAACTATACGTTGCCATGTCTAGGGTTTGCACGCGTTCTGGCTTGAAGATTTTGATATGTGATAATGGAGAAAGGCCAGACACTGAGACCACTAATGTTGTATATAAAGAAATTTTTCAAAACAAATGAAATTACTTAGTGAAAACTATTAGCCAAATAATATTATGACTTATTTGTAATCACATACATACATTACGCTTCCTTCATTTTTTTGTAATTACAATTTTACTATATACTACTTCCGTCCCAGAGTATTTGTCCGCTTTCATTTTTACACACCATCCAATGCACTTCTTTAATCCATTTTATCTTGTAATTTGTATATTAAAAAATTATAGAAATTATATATTAATAATGTATATGTTAAGACAAATCAAATAAGATCACACATGACTATATTTAGGCTTACATATTGAGAGAATTTGATGAGTCAAAATGCTTAGATGAAAAATTCCAAAAGTCAAAAGTGGACGAATACTCCAAGACGGAGGGAGTACTTAGGGGCTGTTTGGCAACTTCTGAATGGGTAAGTGCTGAACCAGTAAAAGGTCTGAACCATTAAGTGCTGAACCAGTAAGAGGTCTGAACCATTAAGAGCTAGTATATTGCTTAACTATTCAGAGGCAAATGTCTGATCAATTCAGATAAGAGGTCTTAACCATTCACACTCTGTATAATACCTAACCATTCAGAGGCAAATCTCTTAACCATTCAGACATCTGAATCATTAAGAGGCTGAAACAAACAGTCTGAACCATTAAGTGCTGAACCATTCTGAACTATTAAGAGGCTGAAACAAACAGCGCCTTAGTTGTTTATCTTAAAGTTTGTAAGCTTGAAAATTACCAGTTCTATTTGATTTATTAGTGGATATACTAGTAGATATAAAAACCTAAACCGAGCTCTAAAAAACCTTTCAACAGTTATTATTCGTCCGTATTATTATTGCCCGATTCGGCTTCAACATCCAATTCTACAGTCGCCGTTCTTCCACATCCAGGCCAGGGGTATGCTCTTCAAATTCAATCTATTCTTTCAATTATCCAGGCGGAAAGACGATTTTATGTATATATCTTTTTCATCAATTTTTAGATCTCTGCTCGAATTGATCATCTGTTAGCCCTATATTTTCCAAGATGTGTTTGTAACGAAACTGTACAGATCTCTTTTTTCACGTTTTAGATTAGTATTTTCATTGTTTTGTTTATTTTCCAGATTTTCGATTATATATACGGAGTATTTTTATGTATAGCAGACTGATTCTGCTTTATTTTTCTTTCTTTTCCAAATTTGCATTCTTCTTTTTTTTTAAGTTTTTTTTTTGGAAAAAAAATATTTGGAGTATCTTAATTTTTAAATACAGTGTGTGTGTGTGTGTGTGTGTATGTATAATTTAAACAAGTTCTAACATTTGTAATTGGATTTTTAGATGATTTTTATTTGCTTTAATTTGTGTCATTTAGTCTCATACTCTCATTGATGTGTTTGCTTCAAGTTATCTTCTTGAAATAAGCTACTGCATAAAAAGGAATTAAATTGAATTTATTACATTAAAAGAGAAAAAATGAATTGGGAAATAAATTTGTCAGCAGAAATTAGTTGCCCACTTTATTCATGAAAGAAACTCACGTGAATTGCTCAAAATGTCTGTAGTAGCTTACCTGATAATTAGGTCTTATCCTCTACATTCACTTCAATTTCTGTCCTGTTGAAGAGGGTAATCATGTCATTTTACCATAATCCTTAAAATTGGGAGGTTTTAGTAATTAGACAGCTTAATCCGGTCAAAGGAGTAGACAATTAGATGCTACATATGGCTATATCTAAGTGTAGATAATAAAGTAATCGATATTCTCTAGCAGTCCATTGAAATGCTAACTCTGTCCCGAAAAAAGGTACTGTTTGTTATACTTGAAACAATATTATAGATGATACTTTTTCCCTGTAAAAGGGAGGTAAGAACTACAAGTAGTAAATAGTAAATGTTGCATTTTGGTGAGATTTTCTTGAATTACTCCAGCATTTCTTTCAAGACAATGGTTTTTTTTGTAGCATCTGGAAACATTGATATGAATTGTCTACTGTCGCACTATGAAATAGTTGAACATGCTGAGTAATTATTGCAGTTGAAGAGAGTTGAATTTGAATATATAAAATGGGAAAGAGGAAGTCGAGGGCTAAACCAGCCCCCAAGAAGAGAATGGACAAACTTGACACTGTTTTTGACTGTCCTTTCTGCTGTAATTCAAAGAGTGTGGAATGCCGGATGTAAGTGCATAATTTTCATTTCATGTCTATGAAATATTTTAATAGGTGATCGATTAGTGTTTACTACTCCCTTCTGTACTATTTTTGGGTCCATTTTTACCTTTTTTTGCCTGTCTTACTATTTTTATCGCATACTATATTTAGTAATGCTTGCCTCGCTCTGCGAATATATCCATCAGCCATTGCTTTGGAATATTTTTTTCAGTCTCCGTTGAGCTTAAAGTATTCATGTTCCATGTGTTTTCAGTGATATGAAGAACTTGATTGCGGAAGCACATTGCAATGATTGCAAAGAGAGCTATAGCACAACTGCAACAAGTAAGCATTGATCCCCCCTTCCTCTCTCTTTCCCCCTTCCATGAGTTAAGCTTGTGGTGAGACTTGAGAGATTTAGCAATACATTTAATGCTCCCCCTGGCTCCCTATAAAAAAGATGGCTTGCTTCAAATACTCTTATTTCAAAATTTGTCTTGCTTGATCAAACAAATCTAATTTTTGTTTGACTTTCCAAAGAGGAGTCGCATACCAGCTGCTTATTACGAATTCAGTGAAATCAGCAAAACAATTAAATATAAGTCAGGTTCATGATTTGTGGCGTTGTTCTTTGCCAAAACTAGAATGTTGTCCCTTTTCGGTCCGAAGGGACTTATTTTTGGGACTGAAGTAACAGAGGTAATTCTTTTAGTAGCATTTGAAGTAACGGAGGTAATCTTTTAAGACGGAAAAAACGTGTTACATGTTCCGCCAAAAGTATTACATGGGGTTATTTGACGGATGTTTTTATCTTCTGCAAAACTGATTTTAGATTGTCTTTTTTCTGTAGCTTTGACGGAGGCTATAGATGTGTAAGTTCCATGAGGCCTTTCTTAGTTATCTATCTCAATAGTGATACACTTTAACTATATAGATCTCCATAATAACATATAAGTCAAATTCGGACAAGCAGATATAGCGAATGGATTGATGAATGTGAACGCGTGAACAACCTTGAAGATGAAGATGATTTAAGATCCTACAAGAGGGGTAGGCAGGAATTGGATAATGATGACCTCGAAGGAGGAGAAGAAGAAGAAGAAGATGATGTAAGACCCTACAAGATGCCTAGACGGGAACAGGAAGAAGACGAGGACGACCTTGAAGACGAAGATGATGTAAGACAGTACAAGCAGCCTAGGCGGCGGGAGTTCCTTCAAGAAGATGATGATGATCTTCCTAGGCGAGAACAAGTTGATGAACTTGAAGACGAAGTAGAAGAAGAGTATGAATATGAAGATGATGATGTAGGAATCCCAAAGAGGCCATCCGGGCGCCAAGTCAATGACCCTGAAGACGAATACGAGGAGGAAGAAGAAGATGATTTGTAAGAGCTTTGAAGAAGATGCCTGCCTGGTACTTGAACTTTAATTTCTTTCTTTCTCCCCCCCCCCCCCTCCCTCCTTCCATTAGTTAGTGCTTGTCTGACCATCCAATGAAGGTGTTTATGGATGTCCTGTTGTAATTTCAGCATTTCTATACTATTGTTATCATGTGACATAGCAATAATACTCCCTCCGGTTCTAAAAACTTTTCATGTTATGACTTTTTTATCAAACAGTGATACTTTTTAATCACAAATTGTGAGAAAAGTATTTTGAACTAAAAAAAGTCAAAACATGAAGAATTTTTAGGATCGGAGGGAGTATTAGTAATAATTTACCAAACCATCTGGTTGTTTATTAGCATCAAATACAATGTATGTCTGCATTTGATTGATTCTGGAGTTTGCTAGCAAAGTTTCATGGTAAGTGATCAGTTTTGCCAATGGAACAATCCCACTTTTCACTTCGAATTGGTTAAAATATGCCGATTTTTTCGGGTTTTGTAGATGATTAGATATAGTAACATGTGGTCCGTGGATGATGGATATTGTGCACCATCGTTTAGCTATTGCGATTCGCTCAGTATGATGGCATCGTCCCTCGTACCGATCAAGACTTTTAAGTTCATCGGTCCACACAGTTGTCCATGTACCGGTAGGAGATTCCGATGTAAATTAAGTCTGAATCGCATTAATTTGGACTAGCGATTGCTCAAAAATCTGAAAATGATTAAAAATTACTTCACAGCCTCACTTTTTTTTAGGTATTAAAAATCACCTCATTTGTCTCATAAAAAGGGTCATTTATTCATGCACTCCAATTTTTAGAATATCCTAAAGGTATACTCCGAGTACTGTTTAAAATCATTAAAAAAAACTTAAAATTTAATTGCCGATTTAACTAATTTATCACATTCAACTTATTTGTGAAACTTTTGTATAACAAAACACATCGAATACAATTTCTTTTTGGGATGAAAATATGATTAAAAATAAAACTCACTCTATAAAAACTCTTTTTTCAGGACTAAAATAGGATTAGAAATAAAGTTATTCCTTCTCGAAATCTTGCTTTGCATGTTATGGATAGTGTATGGACCTCTTTACCTAAATAAGTTCAATTAAATAAGTGCTTATGATAATATCTTTTTGAGAAAATGCTTATGATGATATTATGAAAATGATAATATATATACTAAGAAGATGAAAATCATTAAATTTTCAAACCATTAATTTTTCAAACAAAACACCCTAAGTGCCTGGGGTCATGCTATGACACTGAACACAAATGTCACGTGAATAAGTCCCTTTGCCTCAAGCCCATTATTAGCCTCAAGTAATATCATCCTCGATCAACCACCACCATCTTTCTCCTCAAACACATGTTACAAATGCATTTTAGAAGTCAAAGATAACATTTAAGTTGTTAAAAACGTCCCAAATCATACTAGGAACTTACTATTATTACTCCCTAAGTACTAACTAACATCACGCTGTGTTTAGTAAAACCCTGTTTCGAATTAGTACAAGGATACTCCCTGAATAATAATAATAATATCAGGGGCAAAAAAACATAACCAAGAATTTCTCCCATGATCAGTCTTCATCAGCTTCCTCGGTCCCCCCTGGTAGGTCTGTGACATCCTCTACCATCCCAGACCCTCCAGCTTCTTTGCCCATTGAGCGAAGTTCATCGATTTCAACGAGTAAGAATGCATCGCACGCAACTTTGTTTGCATGCACAAGTTTCGGGCAACCTGGAAAAACGATAAGTTTATAATATAGGAACACATGCGCGATTAAGTATATCCTATGACCATATGAAAACCTATGAACCTTCTAACAAGGACCTCTGCGTCTTTGAGGACTAGAGTTCAAATATGACCATTTTTACTAGACAATTGGACTGATGCATTCACATAAGTTTAGACCAGAAAAGGTTGTCGCCAAACATAGCAAAAGTTTATATGGATGTATAAAGGGATGCAGTACCTGCAACAGGACATCTGCCATGCGCATTCTTTATGTGTCGCATAATAGCTGCCTTCTCAAATATATGTTTGCACTCCCGGCTATACCAATTACAAAGCACAAAGTCAGGGCGCTAGAAGTCTAGTTGGAACCCATGAACTGCTAGGTCAAGAAAATATAAAGGGGAATGAAGGGCAGTTTGGAAGGAAAGAAAGCATGATGGAAAATTAATAAATCGGTTCAAGCTCAACGGATCACCCGAGATGCATTTGTTCAAACTCATTTTGTTTAGGTATTTCTACTTGTATTATTTAAAGAGTAAGAAGTCTAGATAAACAAATATATTTATTTTATTATCAAATAATACTTTGATTTCTATTATCCAAGGCAAACCTTTTTTTGAAGTCAAGTCCAAGGTAAAACTAAACATTATATTTTTACCATACCTTCTAACAGGTTCAACTAACTCTGTGACAGGCTTTCCACTTAAGGGACAAGTCACATTAAGGAGGTTGCAGGCTGAACTGGTCATTACAATATCATCTTCCTCTTCTCCCGGCATTGGTTGTCCAGCATGATGAACATTCTGCAAATTTAAATAATTTTAAAAAACAGAAAGTGAAGGCCTCATGTGATCACTAATCAATAGTTATGGGGATGTTTGTATGTTTAAACTATAGCTTGGGTTCAAACCAAGCGTTCCTCAATCTAGAACGAATACAAGATGCAAAATGTTTGTCAGCAACTTTGAGCAGGATCTGAACTGTTTATTTAGAGAAAAGGGGGTTGAATTCAGATACAGTTTAACCATGCGTGCACAACATTTTCAGACAAATAAGATGAAATGAAATTACAACATTCAGTTTCAACACTTGAAAGAGAAGTAACAAAGACAAAAAGTACAAAATTTTTAAAAATAGTGTAAGCAGCAGTATAGAGAAAGTTAAAAATGGTAACAACATTGTTTGTAATTAATAGATCTGATATGTGAACATACCCAGACAGCTTCCCTGAATTGTCGTAGTAGTGCATGATTCTGAGAGGGAGAAATTGCTTTAGATTTTCTAATTTCAGCATCAAACAACTTCTTAAAATCTGTTGGCTAAAATCAAATGAAAATAGGAGTCAATGATTTGGAACCCCCTATAGTTCGGTACCAGCATTGGAGCTGGAAAACGAAAAGAAAAATATGTTTAGGAAACAAATGCAAATGGAAGAAACACACCTCTGGTCCAGGTTCATACACACTTCCGATACTTTGGATTGCATTAGAAAAATGCAAACAGTCATTAGAAGTTTCCAGCATCTCAACAAGACCAGTTTCAAGCTCCTTCACCTGCAGTGTTGAATTCAACTTAGCAACACTTATTTTAATTTGAGCGTAAGGAGGGTAATACGGTTTCCTAAAATTTTCTAGTTCAACTCAAATAACTACTTGACACAGAGTATATGCTAATTGTCCCAATGAAATTGTTGCATTGTTTATGGTTTTTAGAAAAGTTATGACTGTATTTCATCAACAAAAATTTTATTTTTGATATCTCACAATAGAACCGTACACATTTGAGTAAAAATGAAATGGAACTTCATATGGAAATATAAGATTCACTACTCATAAATATTTTTTAAGATCCGAAATAAATTTATCAAACTAATTAGCCATATTGAAAACCCGCCAATAATTCACTAGAGTAGAAAAAACTGTGAAGATAATACTTCTTCCATCCTTAAATAAATGCAACGTCACAATTTTCACATTTGTCAATGAATAAAGTAAATCATCAATATCTTCCATCATATTTTCGTAAAAAATTATTGCAAGTTTACATTACAAAAGTTTATATCGAGACAAATCTAAAAAGACCTTACATGAATATGTTTTTCTTTATATATAAATCACAGAAGATGAGATCAAATGAGAGTGCATGGACAATGCAAAACCTTTTTCCATTGCATTTATTTAAAAACAAAGGAAGTATATTTGATGGAGAACTACTTTCCTGATGTTCAATTAATATTTAACAGTATTAGGATATTGTTCATCATTGCTTTAAAAAGGGGATGTTTGAGTTTGATTGACTCATTCTCAAATTAATGTATAACTTCAAACAATGTTAAACAGCACACCGTTTGTGATGTCTCGTGATTTCATAATGTAATGAAGTTGGCATAGGAAAAATTACAACGCAACCAAAAAATCACCAAATCAGTGATTTGCAAAGCCAGCTTAAAAATACCCAAACATTATGTTTTAAAAAACACCTATAATTATTTGGAGTAAGTTACATGAATCCATACCGCCAAGCTACTCAAACATGCTTCTAGATGGTTTTGGCTAAGAGTGCATTCAAGTACAATCAGAAACGATCTTCCAAACAGACCCTAAAGTGCAAAACCTTTCCAATTACTAGAAAGGCATTCCAATCATCTTTGATTAACACTGGGTTTATACTCCGTAATATCGGAGTATAAGCATATCCATTTTTATTTGATCACTATTTGTCCAAGAAACAAATCTGTGCAACACTTCTGATGTATAGGCAAGAAACCCTAAAGTGTCCTACACTGTAACGATGAAGAAGAAAAACCATTTCGAATGCAGCAACAAAGACTACAATTCCACCAATCCATAGTATTGACGATTGAATATGTTTTTTGCCTCTTGTTTCCGATTGAGTAGCTAAAAAATTGCCAGAGCTCACGGGATTTATAAGGACGCACCTTATCTGACATGTTTTCCTTCTCCAAATCAACTGCAACTTCCTTCATTAGATTCATAGCCTTCCTCATCTCCTAAACATCGGTGAAAATAGATTAAAATAAAAAACCGAAGCTATGAAACATAGCACAGGAAAATGTCGATCAAATCGTTAGAATGGGAGCGAGCGCTCATACTCTGATAAGGGACTGATTGTCTGAGTCGAGCATTCCCGTGACTGATCTGAGTTTTCCGAGAGGGGCGCCGCTGCGTTGGCCTGACGTCGACGCCATTCGCGGCGGCTTCCGGTTACACCACCGATGGGCTGCGGCTTGAACGGATACTGGATTTGGGAGGGGAACAAAACAAAGGACAGCTTGTGGAGCGGGAAAAAATATTACCGATTATTAAAAAACAAATAAATTCTCAGAATAGATTTTAAAATAAAATGAAATTAAAATCACATATTCCCTCTATTCCAAAATCAATTGAATTTATGATCTTTAAAAAAGAAAAAAAATAAAAATAAAAATCAAATTTATGTTTTTTTTAAAACAACATAAAAATACTATATAACAAAATTGACAAAAATATTTTATTTTAACAATTAGTGAATGAAAATATACAAATAAATAAAAAAATTCATGATTCTTGACTGGAAAAATGTGCAATCTATTTAGGGACAAGATAGAGAGACAGAAAGTAAATGTATAAATAAAAAAATATTACGAGTCATTGATAAATTAAAATGTATAAAAAGAATATGCAATTCATCCCTACGTTTTAAAAGTGTTGCTTCTATGACTTTAAGGTACACATGTAAAATGTAAATTTTTTACATTTTGTATAGACTTACAAATGGATCTTTATCTTTATACCAAAGGTTCATTTCTTTCATGATATTTTTTACTAAGATCTCTAGAATAAGTATTGACCTTAGAATCACAATATAATATTTAAAATTTACGATAATTTTTATCAAATTGTATATTTTTATTAATTATTTAATAAAATCAAATATTATTGTTATCTTTTATTTTACAGAATGTTTAACGTAGTTTTTCTATATAAAATTAATTTTTCAATGCTAACTTGTAAATATCACAAATTGAAAAAATTTAATGTTTTATTTTATTTTAGATTGCAATGCTTTTTAGGGAGGAAAAGATAAAAATTAATTTTTCAAAAACCATCCACGAGTGCTACCAAGGTAGGTTTCACTTGGTGGATCACCTCAAGTGGTAGGGCTGAGATCCTCTATCTTCAAATGATGTCTCAACTCTCAATTTTATCAATAAAATAGAGATAAAATAGCATAGTATATTTATGTGTGGGGTGAGTTAGGTGTCAAGAGCCTTGTTTGAAAATAACATTTCTTATAAGTGTTAGTGTTTTGGATAAAATTTTAAAGGTGTAGATTAATTCTAGAAACGCTAACGCAAAAAAATACCGTCAGATAGTTTTTTAAAAATACTGACGCGAATCTTTAATGCTGATACCAACGGGAGGTAAAAGGATGATTCTCATTGAGACGAGGTAAATTGGATATTAATCGCAGATTAGTGGCAAAAAATGAAGTCTGTATCTGATACTTGCAGAGGTCCTAATCCTATGCTTAGCATAATTGTTTTCTAACGCAGTTGGCAGGAATCGAGTCCAGATCTTACTCGTTGGCACTTATTGCCTTATCAAATGAGCAATGCCCGCCCGAGGTAAGGTTTTACTAGTGGAGGCGTGGAGGGGTTAATGACACTGCTTTCACAGAGAAACTTCCACGTGTCAATGTGACCCGTTCGGACACACCCACTCGGTTACGGTGGAGTGTGCCCAAAGTTAAACGGGCAGGCAGCCAAAAGCTTTGATCATTTTTATTTTCTGGTTTTAAATTTATTGCAGAAGAACTCTCTCTCTCTCACTCCAATTTCACAGTGACATTGCCGTCATTTTAATCAGCTTCCAGAACCCGCCATGGAAGAAGAATACTCTGCCGATGTAGCTCAGCTACTGCAAGCTGCTACTGAGTTCGCTAATCATCCCGGTATATAAATTTCCGATGAATTATTTCCAATTTTTCTTTTTCGTTTTGGTTTTTTTTAATTATCATCGATCAACTCGGCGTATCAGCAGTATCGTCCAATTTCAGGTCCGAATTCCGATGCTTCTGCTCGGGAATTCCTAGGCCGCTTCCCGCTTCCCGCCATTATCAAGTAGGGAGAACATGTTCTGCTCTCTCATCCATGTACTAAGCTTATCTGATTTGCTTTTGGTTGGTTGTTTATTTCTGGACTTTTTTTTTGCAATTCCTCATAGTGCCTTGCAAACGAAATCTGATTATCCCGCCCTGGAGAAAGCTTTGGTTGATTGTCTGGAAAGGGTTTTCAGGACCAAATATGGAGCATCTCTGATCCCAACTTTCATGGTATTCTATTCTATGTGTATGTTATTGATATTGCAAACTTACTTCTTCTTCAAGGTTTCTGTTCATCACGATAGAATTTATAATCGATTAGGGGTTGCTGAAATGTGTTCTATACGTAAGATTATAATGTACATGAGCCAAGTCATTGTAGAAAACTAGAAGATTAGATCAAATCAATTAGTTTTTCTGCCTCAAGGTAATTATAAACTCATATGTCTCACTGTAAAATCTAATATTCTGTAGTGGGTTCCGTTTGGCATTGGTTTGGACTCGTTTGTCCACCCCTAGGGTTAAGACTTGAGTCTACGTATAAAATTTAGGTAAACCTCACATCTTGAAAATCCTTTTGGGCGATGTAAAACTTATGCACCTACTTCCACGTGTTATTGTTGGTTTGCATTTCTTGAGTCGAGATTTCTGTATCACTGTCACAAATCCATGCGTTTTTTGAATTATACAATGCTACTACTTTGGAATTTGAGTTATTATTGTCTTCCTCTTCAGCCTTTCGTTGTCGTTGGTCTGGGGGCACCATCTCAGAATGTCAGGCATTTAGCATGTAACACAGTAAGTGCATCTTACATAATTGCAGCCATATGACTGATTTTAAGTTGCTAATGCCATTTGCCCTGTAATCTTGCTTGAAAATAGTTTTGCTTCATGAAGTTTTTTTTTAATGTTGCTGTTCTTGCATGTCAAGTTTGCTTTCATGAGGATTGAAGTTATCATCTTATCATGTATTACATCCTGAATTATAACATAAATTTTTAATATCCCATATACGTTATAAAAGTAAACAACACAAATACTTCGTAATAAAATGCATAATACTTCCTGACTTATAACCCAAACTTTTGGAGTTTTTTTATTATTACAGTTGAGCAATTCAAATTGAAGTAAAAAAAACAAGTATTCACTAATCATTCTCCTCCCCTCATGAACCAAACAAGGTTCATTAAAAACCCTTCCCTCGATGAGTGATTAACTTTATATCAAGTCTTTACCAAGTATGAGTCTATGAGAGTCATGTTAGTCAAGGCTAGCAGCCGAGAAGTGATGCAATACATATGATCGTTACAAATGAGTTAAAATGTGCAACATTAATAAGAACAGTCAACTACCCGGTCTACCCCTCTATGCCCCTAACAGCTCAATACTTTCTCAAATGTTTTCATTTGGCATATCATCACGAAAATAGCGTCAAAGTGAAGTATTGATGAATATTATTGCACTAAACGTTTGTTCAACATTGATTGTTGCAACTGGTAGTGTTCATTTCACAAATTAATACCCTAATCCCTTATTCAGGAACACCTGGATGTCTAGGATTATAGTGGTTGGGTAGACCTTTGAGTCATAGTTTGCAGTTCATGCTCGTATTGCCTTACTTGGTAGCTTGTGCATGTGTGCTTCGTGTGCTTTGGACGTAAATTGCTAGTGTTGTGTGCTTCTTTCGTCTCATCTGTGTTCTTACTTTGTTCGTGTTACTGTGTTTNGGGGGGGGGCTATTGGCAACATCGTCGTAGTGCCGTAGTGGTAAGGTGTGCATATGCACACTCCAGACCCTACATTTTGTGAGATTTTACGGGGCTTGTTTTTGTAATGTATATACATCATGTCCTTTTGTTTCTACACACTCTGGTATCAATAGAATAAACATTAAGAACATATGTGACATAATATCAGAGAATTCATTTTGATAGAATCCTGCTGTGTTAAACTGTGAATTATCAAATGACACACACACGGTATAAGCACAGATTTCTCTACAGTGTAGTAGAAAAAAGAATATCAACAATGCACATTCATGTCTCTAAGCATACAATTTAGAAAAAGTTGCACAAGGGTAGAGGGTTATATCTTTTTTACATCTTTGTCACCATGGAAAGAAATTCATTTCATATCAAGTCTGAATCTTACATAAAAAGAGCTATTTTCAGGTGGCTCGCCTTTTGGATAATGCTGATGAAACTACTGGCACACGTCTCATTCTCCAGCATGATGTATATCCTTTATTGCTTACTTGCCTCATTGATGGGTAAGATACTTTTTTTGTATGACTAATCTCTTCTGTATGACCAAATCGTTGCTCCACCGGATGCTGCAATGGTTGTTTATCTATTTTGTGAATTGTTCTTTGCTAAAACATCAATCAAAACTTTCCCTGGATTAACTTTCCCTTGAAGTTGGTTCTTTTGATCTCTGCACATGTGTTATTTGGTTTCCTTTCTCTCTATAATAAAGGATTTACATGATTTACATGTGTTGTTTGGTTTCCTTTCTCTCTATAGTAAAGGATTTACATGATTTACATATGTTGTTGTTATACACATCTTCTTAACTTTTTAAAAGATCACTGTAGTGGCTAATTTACAAAAGGGTAATAAACTGTCTTTTCCTTGAAGACCTTTTTTCTTAGGGATAGATGCAAGAGTATAATTGAGTTGTGTGAACAAACTTAACTGATTTTTTATGCTCCCAGGGGAATTAAGCTAACAATCATCACCCAATCATGTACTCCATCCCTCCATCCCATATTAAAGTTCCCACTTATTTTTCTCATGGAGTTTAAGAAAAGGTGAATTTGTGTGTTTGAGATTTTTGCAAAAAAGAGAAAAAATAAGCACCGCACAATTTATTCCTTAAAAAAATGAGAACTTTAATTTGGGATGTCTATAAGAGGCAAGTGCAAACTTAAATGTGCAACAGAGGGAATAGATTCAACAATTCTTTCATGACTTAGCCTCATGAAATTGACCATTGGGATGTATTTAGGGATGAGCAAGTTGCAACAGCAGCTACGGATGCTATTAAGAATTTGGCTGGGTTTTCAAAAGGCTTGGTATGTAACTATGCTTTTGTGTCTGTCATATGGTCACTGTGGTTAGAGTTTTTGGTAATACTTTTTATGATATTTTATCAGTTCTCCGGGCATGATTTTCTGTTGAATGGACAAAACTTTCTGCAGGATATCATCTTTCCTGGAAGTAGCCGGGGGACACAACTTGGGGACTTGGCTGTGAAATGTACTTCACTGGTAAAGTACTCAATAAACTTTCTTTGTCTTTTATCTATGTTGCAACATATAAAATACAGTGGTGTATCTTTGTAAAATTTGTTGCTCTTCAAATTCATATGATATTACACACAATAAATTTGTCTTTCCCCTGTCCTGGTTCTTAGTTCTTCAAAATGATTCAGGGACGAGTTCGAGTTTTGGCGTTGATTGTGAAGTTATTTTCTATTTCTAGCAATGTGGCATCAAAAGTCTACGATGCCAATCTTCTTAGCTTGTTGGAGAATGAAGTTAGCAACAATGCTAATGATACACTTGTAACATTAAGCGCATTAGAACTTCTATTCGAGGTTTGCCTTTTACCTTTCATAGTTCCATTCCATAATGCTTCATTTAAAGTTTTGCATCTTTTCATGTGATCTTTGGTGCTAATGGTTCTTTGTCTTTCTAGATGCCAACTTGAATTTAAATTGCCTAGAAACAAAACACTGCTATGATGAGTAAATGGATCTCTACATTATTTTGACTCCAACTAATTCTATATTAATCTTTTAAGTGTTCTATATGCATGTGCTTGATGAACGAAGTTGGTTGAAGTTCCGCTCAGCATGGAATTTTTGTCGAGGACTACACTTCTTCATCTGCTTAGTTCAATAATTAGGTACACTTGTGGCACTCTATTTTCATTGTGTATTTTTCTTTCTGTGGGGTGTTTGTTAACTGTGTTCGCACTCTACACATCACCATTGATTGTTCTTTCTATTATATTCTTTTCTATATTGATGGATGTTCAATGTGGTTTTGTTTTATTAAGATGATTTTTTCATTGTTGCTTCTCTTCTTCTGTAGCAATGCCTCCGTTGATTCAATTTTGAGATCTAGAGCAATGACGATTGCTGGAAGGCTGCTATCAAATGAGAATGCATTTCTCTTAATTGATGAATCCAGTAAGACACGTGTCATTTCTTTCTTTGCATGTGCACGTGTGTGCAAAACTCTTACACGTTTAAGTATTTGAAGTTAGTATAGATGTTGGTATAGTATATGAGCCAATTACGTTGGATTACCTTTGAAAGTATGATGTATTGTTATAGATGCGTAGAATTGGCAGGGAGATTACAAATATGGCCTGCAAGGCCTCATCATATTATTGCAAACACTATTACAAGTCCACAACGTCCTTAGGTTACTTGAGAACATAGTAGACATTTGAGGGCATTGAGGGGGGGCTCTGGTCAGCGAGAGGGACGAACCATTGGTCATGCACTCATGCAGGGTACCGAGCTCGACTGCTGGGCCTTGTTTGTCAAGCGGGTCTGTAAGACTTACTATATGTTATTGGGCCTCCCGGGCCTAACAAGTTGCTGGGATGTGGTCCTGGTCTATGAGTTGAGCCAAATATTATTCTTCTTCAACTGTTTAAAGAAAATATCACAAGCATGAGCCTTGAGATCGGGTCCATTTAAATATGAGAGACATAAATAACCTTGAGCAGTTATGGTTCACATTTAAAATATGTCGACAGCAGAGTTTGGAAAACTTGCACACTTTCAGTGAAATGTTTGCATTGGCCTTACAATTTTATCTTATACTCTCTCCGTCCCAAAATGAAGTTTACAGTTTGACTTCACGGGGTTTAAGAAAAGTGTTGGAAAATTAAAACTGAGTGGTTGAAATTTGTTTAGGAGAGAGAAATTTTGTGAGTCATTCTTTTCCTTAATTTTTTGACGTCTAAAAAAGTAAAGTGTAAACTTCATTTTGGGACGGAATGTTTAATTTGCTAAGGACCCTTTCATTATTACAAGTGGCTAACGATTGAGATAATTTTTTTGGTAGGTTATAAAAATTTCATTTTAACCATTGATAAGAGGTTTACTTTGCTGGAAAATGAAAATGCTGATGAAATTGAATGTGCACTTGAAGCATTGGGTCAAATCGGTTCATGTAAGTAAACCATTTTCCAAGTATAAGGTTTTTTTTGTTATTATGCTTTGTTGAAAAAATATATTACAGGCCATTTGTTAAACATACCCCCCCCCCCAAAGACATTCTCACAATCTCACCAAAGTTGAGGCTTGCAAGGGGAAGCTTGTTGCCAGAGGGTTTATAAGGATATGGCGAGATGCTTAAATGCCTCTAGTTTTTTAAAAATATTCTAAAAACGTCTTACTAGTTTTCTATTGTATGGTACATTGGTATTGCAGCGAAGAAAGGAGCGACTTTGCTACTCTCAATTTCATCTGTTCCCGGTAGGCATGTTATTAATGCAGCTTTTGGTCACCAACAGCACAGTATACAACTTGTAATAATCTTCAATCCCCTTATCAAGCATCAAACCTTTATCTTGTTTGTTGTCCTTAACATGGTAAAAGCTTGTGATACAATGAAGACTTTAAAAAACAAATCAAATGGATGGTATAGGCTGCACTGCATGCCCTTGGAAACATTGTTGGGGAAGCTCGTTCTGGAAATGATGTGTTACTGGATGGCGATGCAGAAGAGTCACTACGACGTTTAATCTATGAGACATCGTCAAAGACTCCTAAACTGACTGCTTCGGTAAGTCAAATTTGAATCCTTTTCACCTACACATAATATTTCTGATTTAAAGGTATAACAAGCTCAAAATTTTCAGTCGTTGTGTCATAATCTTAGCTGCCATACTTATTTTGGCCTGCAACTCAAAAAATTATTTGTATTTTCAAAGCACATTACACACACACACACACACATACATGCATATATCACATGTATATCGTATTAGTTTTGATGCATTAGGCCTTCAGATAGAGAATTGATTTCATTATGATTATTGCCTTATTTGCACCTATAGGCTATAACTGCATTATAATTTTATCAATTAGTGAAGTTGTTGCTTGTGACAGGGCGTTCTCCTTTCAATTCTTCAGCAGGATTCAGAAATTCGTCTTGCAGTGAGTACATTATTTCTGTTTGACTGCACACTTATTTGGTATTCCTCATCTATGGCAATTCCAATGTTTTATGAATCTTACAAGAAAGGGCTTTTGCATCTTTACCTGTTTGAATATATTGATAAATAACAACCAAGGCTATCAAGATCTTCATTGTAAGATCACATGAGATTTACATCTTGATAACCAAATGTTAGACGTTCTCGGGTCTCGTATATAAGATCTAATGTGATCAATATCTCTACATGATCTTGTGATCATATACCTGATGTGGATGATGTTTTGGGTCTTTTTTTGTTCATGTTTATTGATATTTCACACATTGTTATGTTTCCTACTTTGTATATTTTTACTTTTGCAATTTGATAAATGTATGGACTATGAAGATTGCTCCTATAATATTTTAACATTTTGATAACTTTTAGATGCAATTTGTGGTGTTTAGCGGAGACTGCTGTTAGTTATTTTAAAATTATATGCAATGTTAGGTCGCATAGACAGTATCCCATTTGTGGGGCCTTATTGGGTTGTTTCTCTTGTAGCTTGTATGTAATCCCTCCGTCCTAAAACTTTCTTCCCAGAGCACTATTCCAATTTCACGAGAATTTATATTTATTTGTGTTTTTTCATGGCCTATATGATAAAATAATATATTCTTGTGACCACTTGTTTTGTTGAACTTTTGATGTAGTTTTTAAATATGTATGTTTTATTTTTTATTTCTATAGCAATATTTAAATAAAATAGATTGAAAAAACTTGGATTTTTCTTCGTTTTGCGCAACGGGAAGAAAGTTTTAGGACGGAGGGAGTATGTGTCTATATACATAATACACACACACACACAACACACACACACACACACATATATATATTTGTGTATGTGTGTGTCTAATACTAGTAGTATTTAGATTTTTATAAAAGATGCTATGATCATCCGTTAGATTTTACGATTTGATCTTTCCTATTAGGCGATAACCATTTTTGTATCTCAACTTTTAATAGGGTTATCGAGTGATTACAGGGTTGGTGATGCGACCTTGGTGCCTGATGGAGATCCTCTCTAGAAAAGAAATTGTGGATATTGTGACCAACACATTTACTGAATCCCAAAAGATAGGTCTGTATGTGATCTGCCCATTGATTCAGGTTATGATTAATTAATGATGTTTTATAATCATTGTAAGTTTTGGAAATTTGCCAACTTTTAGGTATGGAAGCTCGGCACAAGTGTTGTCAGGCAATATACAAGGCTTTCTCTTCTAGTAAACTAATCAGTGACCCTTCATTTCATGGTTTAGCTAATAAGGTACACTTCTCATGGTCTCAAACTTTAAGTACTTACTATATATTCCCCCCTGCATTATCGTGACAGCCTTTTGTGATATAAATAGAACTCTGTTGACATGGTGTGATTGTGATTTAGAATATGTTTATTCTGAAAATAACTAGAATGGGGTTCTAATCACGGGGAGAATGATTTCCAAAATCTCATTTGGAAACCTGGAATAACTTTTCTCATTTTGACAAAAAATGCCCTTCATCACTTTCAGATTCCAGACATTTATTCCTTGAAATTGTTGTGCAACAGACCACCATAAAAGTTCTGTTTTTTGCTGTCTGAGACACCATATTCAGGGGCTGTTTGTTTCAGCCTCTTAATGGTTCATATGTCTGAATGGTTCAGCACTTAATGGTTCAGACTGTTTATTTCAGCCGCTTAATGGTTCAGATGTCTGAATGCTTAAGAGATTTTTCTCTGAATGGTTAAGTATTATACAGAGCCTGAATGGTTAAGACCTCTTATCTGAATTGATACATTTGCCTCTGAATAGTTAAGCAATATACTAGCTCTTAATGGTTCAGACCTCTTACTGGTTCAGCACTTAATGGTTCAGTGGTTCAGCACTTACCTATTCAGAAGTTGCCAAACAGCCCCTCAGTTTTTATAAAACTGAAACAAACACACCCGCCTAGCTGTATGAGAAGACAGACCCATACCCTCCCGCTCATTGTTCAGACTCACAATTGTTATCTCGTTAGTTGCATGAAATCATATAGGAAAAAAATAATGTCAATACTCCCAAAAATTTGAGATTTTGCAAGAATACTCCAAGATTACATAATTATCACTAAAGTTTCTGAAAATTCAATATTTTTACAAAACAGAGTACTCCAAGATTACATATAACCCCTAAAAACTTTCTAGGAGTATTGTAAAAATATTGAATTTCTGGGAGTGCCGATGATAAACATGTAATATTGCCATCTTGGCGTGTTGTAAAATATCAACATGATTTTTCCCCTCAGTGTGTATATGCATAAGACATTCCGTTGCTCAATGGAATCATGCCCAATTAGCATGACTATGTCTCCTATGATTTTCACAGCTTGAGGAAGCCATAAGAAGTGGCCCATACCTCAGGAGAAAGCACACCGAAGCGCAGCCCCTTGTGGAGACAGTGCAGAGATTTTAGGGGTTTGAATCACAAACATGAATTTGTTTTCTACTTTTGGGGTTTGAATCTTCAAGTTTAACCTAGTCTATGGTTCTGGTCTGTGGATGTATTTGTATCTATTTACTCCTTCCGCCCATAAAGAACTTCATTGCTTGTCTTGTACTCCGTATAACTTGCGAGTGACATAACGAGGTTTAGGGAAAAAAAGGATGAGCCCTAGGCAAAGAGTGCAGTCTGTATCTGGTATTTGCAGAGGCTTTATGCTCAATATAGTTAGATTCATTCTGCTTTCGTCCGGAAATAATATTCTCATTCTATCTTTGTTTCCGTGTAGAAGTAATCTTCACATTTTATTTTTTTTATCTCAACTCTTGCAAAAATACGCTCTCATTAAATCTCATTAAGCCATGAGAGGTGGCCCATTCAAGGACCCGAGGTCATATTCCTATGCTTGTCTTTGGAGTTCGAATCTTCAAGTTGAACTTGTCTATGACTCTGGTTTGTGGGTGTTTTTGTAGAAATTTTCTCCCTCCGTCCGGCAACTCGTAAAAAGACATTTAACGAGGTTTAGTGTTTTTTTTGGGTTGATGGTCATGTTTGGATGATGACTTTTCAGCTAGCCTTTAGCTGCTTTCGCCATATTTGGCTGTTGTGATTAGTCATGCAACCAAAACAATTGCTTGGTAGATTGCTTTTTAAATTGGCTGTTGGGTTCAAACAGCTAAAAAATGGAACGCCATATAGGGCAGCGTTTTCGTCTTGGTTCTTTCTTTTCCTCCTATTACCCTTATGTTCTTCGGACTACTACATCTTTTTTTGAAGGAACATGGATCTTTTTCTCTTCTCTTTAGCCTTTGCCCTTAGCTTTTCAATGAATTTACTAATATGACCAAACACTATTTTTTTCTCTTTCTGTATGGTAATTGGTAACATAACTGACCTTTGCTCTAAAAAAAGTACAGACATTAATTGCTCTAATTTTACAAAAAGAACATTTCTGATTCAATTTAAGAGGGGTAAGAACTATCAATGTTTCGAATCAAGATTTACCCCTACGTTCATAGCATCCACTAAGATTCTTCTCCTGGAGACCTGATTTGTCTTTCAAAGTAATGTTCATAGCATCCACTAAGATTCTTGTCCTAGATTCAGGCACCATCCCTTTCGCCGTCATTTCCTTGAAATATCCCAATGCATCCTCCAACTTTCCTTTCTCATACAGCCCGTGAACCATGATCGTGTAAGCTCGTTGATCATGTCCAACCCCGCGCATCTCCATCTCGTCCCAAGTAGCTTTCACACTCTCGGAACAATCCCAGTTCATGTACAGCCTCAACGCCAAGTTATAAGTGTCCTCGTCCATCTCACACCCTTTCTTCTCCATTCTCTCCAAGATCTTGGTAACTTCCTCTTTGTTCTTGGCAGACTTCAAGAAATACGCGTAAGTTCTAGCATTGGGCGAACAAGAGTCGCCATTTTCTTCCATTTCGCATAAGAGCTCATATGCCTTCTCCATTCTCCTGATGTGACACATGTGTTTGATCAGAGAGTTATAAGTTGCAGAATTCGGGGAACATTCTCGATCGTTCATATCTCTGAAGATCTCAAGAGCTTCCGGGATCCTCTTCTTGAAGCAAAGCCCGTCGATGATGGAGTTGCAGATAGCCACGTCCGGATTGAACCCTTTCTCCCACATTGTCTGGAACAGCTTCACAGCTGTGGTGATTTTCCCAGATTTGCACAGGGAGTTGATGAATATCCCGTACGTGAACCGGTCCGGTTTGCACTTGGAGGTCACTATGTCGTTCCAGAACCGCTTCGTCTCGCGCAAGCTGCCCAGGAAACACCACCCGTTCAGGATTATGTTCCTTGTTTTGATTTCGTCTTTAAACTCCTTTTTCTTGTTATGGTACAAGAATTCAGCCGCGGCCACGTGCTTGAACCTGCAAAGAGATAGAAGAAGGGTTTGGAAAGCAATCAGATCGATCTTTAACCCGAAATCTCTTCTCTTGTAGAGAAACTCGACAGCTTCATCAATCTTGTGAGCTGCAGCGTATCTGTTAACAACGATTTCATATGTTCTTTCACTGAACAGATTTCCTCTTTCAGACATTACGTCGAGCACCTGGTGCACTTCGTCAAAACGCCTCATTCTCCCGAGAATATCGAGGATTTGGTTGAAAACATCTGTCCCGGGGGAGTACCCGGTGCGATTCTTGCGGCCTTCCAGCAGCCAGGTGAAGAAAGCGTACGCCGGTTTCCAATCGGAGCGGTGCCGTTTAAGCACGCCGACGACCAATTCCTCCGTCAAGGCGAAATTGCTTTGGCTCAGGGAGATGTGCAATCTGGTGATGGATTTGTCTGTGTGGAGCTTGAGAATGGACTGAATTTCGAGAGCGGTGGCGCTTGAATTGGACTCTGGGTCCCGACTGCGATCCGTGCCGGCGGGGTCACGGCTTATCGCCGGAGAATCTTCGATGGTCCGGCCGGGAAAGCTATGAAAATTTGAAATGAGGATTGATAAGGGAAGGAGCTTGAGGGAAACCAGCTTAGATGTGAACCGCCGGCGGATTCCCGGCGACAATGCCTCTGCCAACATGCTCTTGGTCTTCCAAAACTAAACAATTTTAAAGGTGTTATACAAAATTTGCAAACAAAATCTTTAAAAAATGGAGATGGATAGTCTAAGATTATACTCCATCTGTCCCCCAGTTTTTGTCCACTTTTGACTTTTGTAACTGTTTATCTAAGCACTTTGACTCATCAAATTCTCTCAATGTGTAAGACTAAATATAGTCATGTGTGATCTTGTTTGATTTGTCTTAACATATAGATTATTAATATATAATTTTTATAATTTTTAATATACAAATTACAAGATAAAATATATTAAAGAAGTACATTAGATGGTGTGTAAAAATGAAAGTGGACAAATACTCTGGGACGTAGGAAGTATCATAAATTTCCGAATAAATTTCTAAAATGGTATTCAATAACCATATGTTTTTTTAAATTAATCTCCAAAATTAACTAATTACCAAGATGGTACTAGTTAATTGAAAATAATGCTCAGTTCAGTCTCCCCCGACTAACGACCGTTAAAACGGCATTAAATTTTATATTACCTTTTCAAAATAGTACTTTCTAACTCGGTGTTTTCTTATATTATTAGTACGTTTTCAAAATGGAAATACATTAATTATAGAAAAATATTTTAAATTCTATAGGATGACAATGTAATATTTAAAATGAATTGAAAAAACTCGATATTTTACCTTGAGAATATAAGTGTGACAAATATTTAGGAACGCAACAAGTATGTATTTTTGCAAATATCCGAAGTTGGCCCGTAAAAACACTTTTGAATAAGCCAAAATCTTTGTGTGCGTGGCAAAAATACAAGCCTTGTCATCTCCTTTTATATACACGTGTCACCCTCTCCTTCAATCTCTCTCCTCATATATTTTCCTTTACCTCCCCCCCTCTCTCTCTCTAGAAAGCTCAGATCAGAAAGCTTTTGCATTTGCTGTTGCTTAATAATTGTAGAATTAAGGTATGAATACATTTATGCTCCTTATTTCGTGTGTTTTTAATTAATTTATTACTCATTAATCTTTTGAATTATATTTTTTTTGAAAGGTTGTAATTATATTATATTAAATCAAAATAGATTGATTATTTTTATCATTCGGGTGCGTAATTTTATTTGTTAATGCAATGTGTATACGGAGCGTTAATCATCATTAGTATTGCATTGGTAGAGAGTGAATCATATATTGACGAATGATAAATTAATCGCTCCAAATAAGTTTAATGTGTTAATAAATTAAGTCAAATAAAAGAAATAATTGTAAAAGTATATGATGATTTTTAATATACGTCCCAAAAAAATTTCATTGTTATGCATTTTTTGTTTCATAAAACTTGTTTTTTAAATATATATAAATTTATTTTAAAATTTTATACTAATTTTTATATAAATTGAATCGAGAATGGTTTTAGTTAAAAATATTGTAAACCGAGATTGTTTTTGGGACAAAGAAAGTAGTGGTATTGTGTTACTCCCTCCAGTCCTAAAAACTTTTCATGTTTTAATTTTTCTTTGTGGCACACTTTGAACACAAATTATGAGAAAAGTATATTCAATTACAATATAAATTCAATATAATTGATTTCATCTTAGAATATAATTTTGATAAATCAAATTTTTATATCATTTATTTATTTGAATTATGTTTAAAATATGGTCGAGTGACACTATTTGACTAAAAAGTATAAACAGAAAAGGTTTGGATTGATCATCATCTACTATGGCTTCATCTGCACAACAAGAGGCTGCTGGGAAAGGGAAAAGTAAGATGTCCAAACACATAAAACATGGGTACCATCTCCTTGAGGGAAAGATGGGTCATGCTATGGAAGATTACGTTTTTGCCCAGTTTAAGGAAGTCGGCGACAACGAGCTCGGACTCTTCGCCATCTTCGATGGTCACTTAAGCCGCGAAGTCCCCAACTTTCTCCGTTCTCACTTGTTCGATAACATCCTCAACCAGGTAAATAATGTAGATGTTAATGTTACGTTGTTTTGGTTCTATATATTGGAGTTATGCCGAATCGGTTTATAGTGTTTTTGGCATTATGTGTTGCATATTTGACACGATATGAAGTACTATGTTTTAGTTCTAGTTAGGTATTTTCCCGTTACTTTAGCTCCATTTGGAATGGGCATAACCAATTTATGAATGAAGTCCTTAACAAACATTCATTCAATGATTCTTGCAGCCAAACTTTTGGACTGAACCGGAGAGCGCTATCCGAAGAGCGTATCGGATAACTGATTCGACAATTTTGGAGAAAGCATCGGAGTTGGGCAAAGGAGGCTCGACAGCGGTCACTGCAATACTGATCAATGGCAAGAAGCTCGTCGTGGCTAACGTTGGAGACTCTCGGGCAGTCATCTGCAAGAATGGGACCGCCAAGCAACTCTCCGTGGATCACGAGCCCCAAAGGGAGAAGAAGGTCATTGAGGATAGAGGCGGCTTCGTGTCCAACTTTCCAGGTATGTCCTAAAGTATCCCACATCGAAAAAAATAAATGAGAGAAGAATGGGTTAAATGGTTAATTATAAAGTCTTGTGTTTAACTAGAAAATTGTCTAGATTCAATGTTTTTAGTGTGGTTTATGGTTTAGTTGAGTAACGAACCCTGAGTTCTATGAGTAGAGTAGTATTAAATGTTATGTTGGTTTTTGTTGATACGATTTTCCGAAGGGGATGTACCTAGAGTCGATGGGCAGTTGGCGGTGGCAAGGGCATTCGGCGACAAGAGCTTGAAGGAACACCTCAGTTCAGAACCGGACGTGGTGACGGATGCCATTGACGAAACCACCGAATTTCTTATCTTGGCTAGTGATGGCATATGGAAGGTCAGTTTTCATTTCCCTGACCTTCAACTCCAAGCTTGTTGAGCTTTTGGTTCAGTGTGTTTGTTTAAGAGTAACTATACGTTTGTTTTACCCGCTCTTTTAAGACTTCCACATATGCCCTCACCGGGGACCGCCTAAGCGTTTCCTGACCCATTCTGGGTGACGATTTATGGCAGGTGATGACGAACCAAGAGGCGGTTAACTGCATTAGAGGAATAACTGATCCCATTTCAGCCGCGAAGCACCTTAACAAAGAGGCGGTGTCGAGGAAGAGTTCCGACGACATTTCGTGCATCGTTGTTAGGTTCAACTGATCTTCTTGTTGAACACTGCACTGGATTATATGTTCTGCTCTGTTTTTCTTCTTCTTCTTCTTTCATAAACATGTCACAGTTTCTTGAAACAGATTGAATTCCTATAATAATAATGTGTTTCTTTACTGTTTTTACATCTGTCATCACATATCACTAGTAAAAAAGATGACCTGAAACTATACATTATAAGGTAACACAAAAAAAAACATGAAAATTCATCATAATCTTCTCTGTTTCTGGTGTTCATCAGTTCCAATGGCTTCAAGCCATGAAACCACACAATCAATTGTGGGTCTTTCCCTTGGTTCCTGATGCACACACAAACAAGCTATATCCAACGCCTGGGAGAGTTCGTTCTCGCGATCTTTATTGCTATCATCCTCCCATATCTTGGTGTCGAAAATCTCCTCCTCCCGCTTCTCCCCTCTCATATGCAGCACCCAAGAAACCAGGTTTCTGCAACTCTTCCCCTTGCACACCTCCACGGGCCTCTTCCCGGTGAGGAGCTCCAGAAGAACGACCCCGAAGCTGTAAACGTCTCCCCGGAACGTGGCGATCCTCGAGTGGCTGTACTCCGGGGGAATGTACCCGAGCGTCCCGACCAAATCTGTGGTCACGTGCGTGTCGTATGGGCTTTGTAAGAGTCTCGAGAGCCCGAAATCCGCTAGGTGGGCTTCAAAGGTTTCGTCGAGGAGAATGTTGCTCGTCTTTATGTCGCGGTGGATTATGTTCCGTTCCGGGTTGTGCAGGTAGGCCAGTCCGCGGGCGGCCCCGCGGGCGATCTTTAGTCTTGTACCCCATGTTAAGAATGTTGTACCGTCGACGCTCTCGTGGAGCCAGTAGTCCAAGCTGCCGTTGGCCATGTAGGAGTATATCAAGAGCCGGTCGTTCCCGTGTTGGCAATAGCCTTGGAGGGGGACGAGGTTGGGGTGGCGAGCCCTCGAGAGGGATTCCACTTCGGCTTGGAATTCCCTCTCCATTTCCCCGCAATCCCCCGAGAGCCTCTTGATTGCGGCTTTGGTCCCGTTCGGGAGGTTGGCTAGGTAGACGAGGCCGAACCCCCCGCACCCGATGATGTTTGATTCGTCGAAGTTGTTGGTTGAACTCAACAAGTCTACGACCGTGAGATCCTTGCAACCCGAGGCGCGAAAAAGGACCAATTTTGACGCCTCGGAGGGCAATCTCGTTATTTCCTCTGTTCGGTCATCGTCCTCAACATCACGGTCTCTTCTCCAATGCAATCTTAGCAGCAGAAGAACAAGAAGCACCACAGTTCCAACTCCTAAGCTAAGAGTAATCCCGAGAACTCCGCGTTCCCCGAGTCTTTTTCTTGAAACGGGAAGGGCAGGGATGACATTAGTAACATTTGCATGAAGTCCTGAGTTTCCTTCAAAACTTGAGGGTGGAAAGCTGAAGAACTGGCCCCCGGTCGGAATGGTGCCCGTCAAGTGATTATAGGCAATGCTGAACTTAGACAAGAATGTAAGCTCCTCGAGTGAAGAGGGTATCGACCCGTGTAGCTGATTATGGGACAAATCTAGGACCTCTAGATTCGACATGGCCGAGATAGAGTCGGGGATGGGCCCGCTTATGTTGTTCGCGCTCAAATCCAAGACGTGGAGCTGTTTCAACCGCCCGATCTCGGGCCATATCGCCCCGTTGATTCTGTTATTGCTCAAGTATATAGATGGAGGGAACCCCGAGACTCGGTTGTATTGCAAGCCACTTCGGCTCGAGTTCCTCTTCACGATAAACGGGATGCCATTGATGGTGATGTTGAAATCAAATTGATAGTTCCCGTTAGGAGCCGTTAGGCTCTTTAGCGTCATCAAGCTCTTCGGGATTCCCCCCGAAAGCGAATTATTCGAGAGATCCATATAAAACAAATCCTCCATTTCGCCGATCCAAAAAGGGATATCACCATCCAAACGGTTCCAAGACAAGTCGAGAGCCCGTAGTTTCTGGCAATTGTTTATCCACGTCGGGATTTCACCGCGGAGCCTAGAGTTCCCCAACGCGAGGATTATTAGGTTCCGGAATCCAGTCACGTTTCTCGGGATCTCTTCGCCTTCGAAGTTCTTGGTGAGGATGAGAGCAGCAAGGCTTTGACAGTGCTGAAAAACTGATAACGCCCGGGAGAGATTCTCGAGCCGGTTTTTGGACAATGTGAGGAACACGAGGGACGAGAGGTTCTTGTAGCTCTCGGGAACCGAGCCATTCAACTGGTTCTTCGAAAGGCTCAAAACCGTCAATGCCCCACAACCGGAGAGAGATACCGGGAGTGGGCCCGAAAAGTTGTTGGACGCGAGGTCGAGAAAGGAGAGTTTAGGCAAACCAGTGAAATCAAGATCAATGCCACCAAACAATGAATTGTTCCTAACATCAAGTGTTGTCAAGTTTGAGCAAAGTGACAATGTGGGAGGCAAACGCCCCGAGAACAGGTTCGAATGCAGAACCAAAATCTCTAATCCGATCAAACTACCAAAAACATCAGGAATACCACCAGAGAATCCATTTCCATATAAAACCAATGATTTCATCTGGGAAAGTTTACTGATCTCCGGGCTTAACTGCCCGGATAAGCTATTCTCAGAGGCCGAAAACCGCTCCAACGACAAGATGGAGTATAGAGACTCGGGAAGCTCACCCGAGAAACGGTTCATCGAGAAATCTAAAGTTCTTATTTTTGTGGAGACATTGGAAATGTGTGAGATGAGAGAGCCAGAGAAAGAATTGTTGCTGATATTAAGGACATGAAGATATGGGAGCTGAAGAAGATCAGCAATGGAGCTTCCTGTGAATAAATTGCTGGAGATGTTGATTGTGTGTAGTTTTTCCAGCCCCTTTGAGAGTGACCCCAGAATCTGTCCATTGAAAGAGTTGTGGCTCAAATCAAGAACCTCAAGCTGGGCCAGTTTGGAGAAATCCAAGGGCACCCCACCCTCCAGATGGTTGTGGGAGAGATCAAGAAACCTCAAATGTCCCAAATTCTCAAGGGATTTTGGAACAACCCCTTGCAGGTTTTTCCCAGATAGATTCAACTTGATCACCCTCCTCCCTTCTTCTTCTTCGTCTTCTTCTTCGCATTCGACCCCATCCCAGTTGCAGCAACTGGAATTGGATTCATCTGACCATGATGAAAGAATGGAAGAGCCATTAGTTAGGTTTCCTGCAAATTCCTTCAAGGCCAGCAGATCACTTGAATTGCAATTGTTTTGAATTAGGCCCAAAGATGGACAGAAGAAGCAAACCCAGAATGCCAAATTCAGTATACTCATTAGAGCAAAAAAAGATAATAACAATTGCAAAGAACATCAAAAAAAATCTGCAATTTTTTCTCTCTCTGCCAGAAATCAAGAACCCTAGCTCTTTAAATCAAGAATTCAAAGAAAAGGGGAAACCAGATCATAGCAGGGAGTATAAATGGGAAAAAGCAGCCATCTTTATCTTTTCTCTATCTAACAAAAAGGGACAAGTTGAGTTTTTTTTTTTCAACTTGTAAGGGAAGGAACAAAACAAAGATGAAGAGGAAACCAATGAGGCTTCAGAAGAAAGGAGAAAGATGGAATCTTTGGAATGAAAATGAAGAACAGAACAGAGATAGAGATTTCAAATCAGAAGAGTAGTGAATAGAATATAAATGAAGGGGCATTTCACCGTTGGGCTTTTCCTGTTGTAAAGGATGAAACAGAAATATATGCTCTGGCTGCCCTTTTTGATAAGGGGTGAAATGCCCAACCGCCACACCCCGGCCAAATAGTAAATCACGGTTTAATCTTAATCAGTCTTTAAAAATATTGTTTCGTGTACGGTCTCACAAATAATACTGGATAAAATTAGTTGCGGGTGTTTACGGTTTAGCTACAAACTTGAATTTTTTTTATTGAATTATCGAACCCACTTTGGATTATCAATCGCCCAAGAGTATGGCTTGAAGTTCTAGTTTTTCTACTCTTTTGGTTGTTACAATGTTTGGCTTTTACTTTGAGGTTAATTTTTATTTGAAAAAATTATAGACTTACGAACACTGAGTTTTTTTTTTATTTAAAATGTACGTTTGGTTACATTTTATATAATACGGAGTATTTTTTTTCATTCTCCACTTTAGTATAAAAAACATGATGAATATCATGTGCGTGATTGGGTGAATGTTTCAAAAGTCAAAGTGTTGCCAATTTTGCCATAAAAAAATAAAGAAAAAAAGAAGCCGTATTTTTTATGCTCCTCTCTCTCTCTCTCACTATGATTTCTGGATTTTTCATACTTTTATTTTGTGTACACCCTATATTTTAATTTCTTATATTTAAACAGAAATGTGTGGTTTATATATTGTATCTCTATGTGGACCAAGCTTGCCCGAAGCACGCGGGTACCCGTGCGGACCGACTCGGATTTCAATTATAAGGGCCACTATACGGGTCGAGCCAAATCCGGGCCTAAAAAATTCTCGTAATATAATGTTCCGAAAATCAGCCTGGCCCACACTTTGATGGGATCAGATTTTGACTATTTTTCTCTATTTTTACTATTTATTTATAAAATAAAATAATGTTGCAATTTATTTTTTTGGAACATTAATTTTTGATGCAATGAAATTTTTCGAAATAAATTCTAAATATATAAAATTCTATTTTTTAATTATACACTATTTTAAAAATAAATTAAGTTGATTTTGGTACAACAGTTGAAAATAAATGTAGTGGAATACGGAGTATACTTCGTAAATCTTACTACCTTCGTTCTTGAGTATTTGTCTAGTTTTGACTTTTTTCGATCAAACTTTTTTAGTCTAATATCATTTTTATTTAATTTAAGGACAAAATTTATCATAGTGTGTATTGTTCAAATGAAACTCTTTGTGCGTCGTTGGATTGAAAAAAATATAAAAAAAATATTAGTTATAATCGAGTCATTAGCACACACAAAAATCTTATACTACTAGAACTTATTAATTGAAAATGTTATTTTCAAACACGATCATAATATTAAACGAAAACCATCACTTTATTTTAAAAAGTCAACGAATGAGAGTGGACATTAGACTCTTTTTGTCAACAACACCAATGAGTGGTATGTTCCATTTTTCTAACACCATAATATTCTAGGACAGATGAAATTATATTCTAACACAATTTCCTTTTTCTTTTCTATTCATTTAAAATAAGCTTCATATTTATTTTCCTTTTTTAAAAAAATGATAAGAGACTAAAAATAATACATAGTATTTTTTTTCTAAACAAATTTTATCAAAACACTTTTTATTTTAAAACAGTTTTTCTTATATTCTTTGAAATTAAAATATGGAGATAGAGGAAGTAAGACAAAAAGTAGTGGTGCACATACTTGAAATGATATGATGCAAAATTGTGGCATGCACAAGTCGCACTATATTACATGAGTGCTAAACACCTTAGCTTCAACTATTTAATAAGTCAAAAAAAATCTTATACTTATAATTACCACAAAAATGAGAGGATTCTTCTTTTGACATTAAAATTTGGTACTCTTCGGTTCCTAAAAGATTATTACAGTTTGATTTTTTTGATTAAATTGTGGCATCTTCCAAATTGTGACATCTTTTGACCGCGAATTATGGAGAAAATATATTTAGTTATAATGATAAAAAATTGAAATTGAAAAAAAATAAGTCTCCCATCTGCAAAAAGATACTTAAAATTCTGAAATCGCGAATTACAGTAAAAAAATACTTCTTCTCTCTACAAAAAAAATTATAGTTCAAAATGACATGTTTGAATGAAATTTGAAATTGAAATATTTAAAATTCTCAAATCGTTGCTTTTGTACTACAAACTATACGTTATTAGCTTTGTTTATCGAGAGGTACCCTTCATTACTTTAATTTACTAGGTCTACCTATGAAGGTAGGGTGTTTTTTTGGTGCATTTTGAGTGAATATAATTTTTATGAATTTTCTCATATAAAAATCTTTTTTATTTAAAATTAAATTTAAATTGAAATTCAAACTTATGCCAGAGTTAGTGTGACTATAAGTTTAATTAAATAACTCGTAGATCTTTCTGTTGTAAAAAATAACATTAGCGAACTTTATATTTTGTTGTAAAAACTAGGCAGAGACATTTCGTTTATTATTTTGTTAATGAATTTTAAAAACTAGGCAGAGTATATTTTTTGTCATTTTCTCCTTAATAATTTATGTTAGTCCCTAATAATTTCATGCCTTCATGGCTTTCACTTTTTAGTTTCTTTCTTCTTCTTTGTTTTTTTTCTTTTTTTCTTCATTATGTTTCCTTTTTTCATAAAGTTTTTTTATTTTCTTATTTAACTGGAGTATTTTTCCAAAAATTCAAGTTTTTTTGTCAGATATAAAAAATAAATGTAATTAAAATGACTACAATAAATACAAAATAAATAATACACTTTTTAATTATTATTTACAAAATAGGGGACAAAATGGTTCTATCCTCTCCCAGTCTACAACAAAATATAAGTCTTTTTGAAAATGAGGGACATGCGAACTATTACTAGAGGTGGCAATCGGATCAACCGGATCGGTTTCGGGTTAGATTTTTTCGGTTCGGATATTTTTCGGTTATACGTTATAATCGATTCGGTTCGGATCGGTTAAATTTCGGTTCGGATTTGATTTCGGTTCTATAAATTTTTCGGTTCGGTTCGGTTTCGAGTCGGTTCAAATACGGTTCGGTTATAAATCGGTTCGGATAGATTTCGGTTCGGATATATTTCGGTTTCGGGTCTAGTTCGGTTCGGATATATTTCGGTGTCGGATCAAATATATTTTGGATATATATTATTTTCTAATTAAAATTTAACTATCTGTGTTTCTTTTTATGTTTTATCACATTTATCAATCTATCATCAATTCAATACCTCATACCGAGTATTATTTTATATTTTTTTCTAGTTATATTATCTCTAACCTAAATAATCTTCCCTTTTTGACTTTTTAGTCATATTTTACAAATTTGGACTACAAATTATGAAAACATATATATTTAATTATGATATAAATTTAATATAATTAAATTGATTTTAAAATTAAGTTTTGAAATTTCAAATCTTTCTTACATCTACTAATATACTTATGTATATAAATGAAAGGATAAAAGATAAATTCAAATAGTCTTATGTTCCATTTGAATACAATTTGGTAAAAATTGAGTGAAATTGGGTGAAATTAAATGAATTTTATTCAATTGAGTGCAAAATTTATAAATTGTTGAGTATATTTGGTTGAAAATAGAGAAAATTAAATTTAATAGAGTCAAATATAATTAATTTTACACCTAAACGTAATGGTGTAGATCAAATTTGAAAATGATAACAGTAAAGGCTGCCGCTAGAGAGTCTTTTCAAAATGCTAATACTAGCATTTAATTTTATTGACTAATATTGAATGAATTGGTTTGAAACTAATCAAATTAACTCTCAAATCAATAAAATTTATTGTAATGAGATGAAATTAGGCTAAAATCTATTTATCACATACAATTCATCATATATATTTCTTTCGTTCCAAAAAGAATATCACACTTCATTATTTAAAAATTACAAAAATTTTATTTGTTTGTGTGTTATCATTTATATGTATAACTTATCTTACTTTCTACATATAATAAATTTAAGGCATAAAATTTTGTACTTTTTTTAAGAAGATAATCTATTTTTAAGAAGATAATCTATATTCGGTTATAGACCGGATCTTCATTTTTCGGGTCATGCTGGTTTTGGTTTCGAATATTTCGGTTCGGGTAATCGGTTCCGGTTCTGTTTTGTCAGGTCTAACTATTACAACAAAATTTGTGTCACCAATTTTTCCGAAAACACCCTTCTTTTTAAAATTATTAAACGGTGACGTTTTGATAACCTATCTCATTTTCATTTTCCGTCTCCTTCCTCTTGGAAAACTCTCCCAAAGTCCCGTGGCCTGGAAATCCTGGAATTCGAACAAGACGCCCATCTCCGGCACTCTCTAAGGCCTGCCGCGATTCGCGCGTATTCCTCAGCCGCGATATCTCTTCTTTTCCGGCCGAGATCGGTAAAAACTCAGTATTTATGTTTAATTGTTTCAGGCAGTTGTAAATTATGATCTGTGATATGTGAATTTGTAATTTGTGAACTACGAATTTATACTTAGGTTAGTTTTCATTACAGCAGTTTAGATACTCGTGTTTTTACTAATTTAAATATTTGATCATCAATTAAATGCAAATTGTTAATTTTTTAAATTATAAATTAAATTTAGGATGCAAAGTTTTTTTATATATTTTATTTTAAGGAAGCTAATGAAGTGAGGATTCTTCTAACTTGAATGCTTCTTCGCCTTCAATTCATTCCTTAGAGCAAAACGTTGGTGAATCTGAAACCCTATTGAATAACAAACGTTGCAAAGAGAAAATTGATTTTGAATCCTTAGATGATGGTCTGGAGTTAAGAAAGAGAATTATAGATTATCACTGAATGTGCAAGATGGGAGTCATAGTTATCTAAAAAATGATTGCCTGAGGTATGAAAAAAAATTGTGACCTGTGGTTATACATAGATAGTGAGCGATATTTTTGAAACCATTAGGGATGATGTTATATCAAACCACTCATGATGACATTAAATCTTTTGTATTTAAAGGATGCGGTTTTGCATTCTTTGTCAATCAAGAGTGTCGTTCGTTTGGTATCTTAACCATTTAGATAATAGGAATTTCCTCCTCCATGTTGTCTGGAATTTTTAGGTCACAATTCATAGGTCTTTTGATAGCAATATGACATAGATGAGTGATATGACCCTTGAACAGGCAATGTATTAAACACGGGTTGATTAGGGCAGGGCTGGTTCATGAGGCATTAGATAGGAGTAAGTGGTTTTTTCAACACCTGCCTCGATTACCACCACTTTTTATGTTCTAAAGTTAGGGGTTTTGCTTGAGTTACACTTTAAGACATTAAACTACTGTTTGATGTATGTATTTTTTGCATTGCCACTCAATGCTTCTAATAATATTGTTATTATCTCAATCACTTCATATCAACTTAATTATTTCTGTTACCTATCTCTCTTGATTTGTGGTTACCCATCAAATCTTGTTCTGAAATTAATGAATTTATTGTGCAGTGGTCCTTTTGATTTGCTTATCATCTCAAGGTTATTTGATTTTGTCATTTCCAGTCAAAGAAAGAATAAAGAATCAGCAATATGCCGTCTCTTCAAACTGCGTTGCCTCCTGAACTTGCCAATAACACCATTCGAGTTTGTTTCTTTTCCATTCTTTTTATGTATTATAACCTCTATTTGTTACTATGTATTTTTTAGTCTAATGTATAATTTCACGTGTTTGCAGCTCTATCGTGAATGTCTTCGCCGGGCTAAGTATATTGGTAGTAAGGTATGCTGAATTATTATTATTACTACTACTATTATTGTTGTTGTTGTTGTTGTTGTTATTGCTCCGTATTATTACTATCCATCCATTTGTGGAATTCTTCTAGATGGTGTTGGCCGTGTTGCATTATTTTCCTATTTTCACCCTGACCTAACAATGCTTCTCACTTTATTGAACAACCCATTGTTTCTTGTATTATTCATTACTTAAATGTTCCGATGTAAGTTTAATCATATTGTTCTTTTAATTTGGAGCAAATACCTATTACCCCGTGTATAATGAAGCAATGTTTTCATGGAGTCTGGCACAACAACATAGTTGAGGATCATTTTTTGTCATAATCATTGTGTTTCAGATGGTATTGTCAAAAATTAAATTCAAAATGCTGCTTTATGTAGTGACCTGATTTATTTCTACTCATAATTATCTCAATAAAGTTCATAGCTTTGCCGAGAGTGAGTCATCAAGTGTTCAGTTTGTGGATATGAGTATCTTAGCTTTGTAATGTACGGAGTATTATTTGAAAGAACTTGTAGTTTTAGTGGTTAAATCTTATTGCTTTATTATGCAGCAATTCAACACCGAGCTGATTGTCAATATGGTAAGGCAGCAGTTCAAGAAGAATATGCATGAGACAGATCCTGATAAAATTCAAAAGTTCAAGGATGAGTAAGTTCTTGTATTTTACTCTGTAATTCTTTTTTTCCTTTAAATACTGGTAGATGCAATGAGGCTTCGTTCAGTTACAACATTTCTTATTAGTGTTAGCGTTTTAGATAATTTTTCAAGGGTGCAAATTAACACTAAACGCTCCTGTTTGATAACATTTTCAAAACGCTAAATCTAAACCCTAATGCTATGCTTGGTTCAAGGAATCAGGAAGGAAAAGAAAAGGGAAAGGTTTCACTCCTTTTCCTCACCAAGATAGAAGGAAAGTTGCTTTCCGTCCTATTAGTGTATTATTCTTCTCATTTTCTTTTCCTTCGCCTTTTCCTCTCTAACGAAACACAAAACATTGTTCCCATATCATTTTCTTTTTGTTTTCTCTTTCAAATTCCTTTGAACCAAACACAGTGTAAACTATAAAGTTAATGTCAAATGTAGCCTAATTGATAGTTTGATACAACTTTGTGTGCTTCATTAATTTCCTGACATCTACAACAAGTGCACTTGTTCTGCATGATACACTGAAGGATAATTGAAACAAAGATTGGACTTGACCTGTTTGTTTTAAGCTTGATTTTTTCCATATGATAAAAGCTCTGTTTTTAGATGTGAAGAATATATAACCTGTTTGGTAGGTCTTAATTTTTGTCCGAAAGTGGTAAGTTTCTGAATTTCCAGAATTATATAAAAGATCCATTGAAACCAATATTTCTCAAATAAATTAAAGAAAACAGTATCTAGATTTGTCTTTTCCTTTCATCTTAGCCGGTAAAAAAAGAAGAGTAGAAAAGATCATGTTCGACACAACTACAAACTTGATTAGTAAGGCGGAAAGAACTGTTTATTTTGGCATTTCATCTCGTGAAAAGAGTCCAGTTTCCTAACATGCTCTGTCCCAAAGGCGTTCTATCAAGGTCCATTTTGGAAAAAAGGAAAAATGGCATCCAGAAAAGGCTCATTTTTTGTTGCCTCCTACATCGTATTTTCTGGAACAGCCAAACACTGCAAAATGCAAGTCTTTGCTCTCTTTCCAAATGGACCCTTAATGAAGACACACCTGTTTTCATGTTTTATAATGTATATAACAATACACTCAAAGTTTGAAAATCCGTAAGCTTCTTAAAATATGAACCATTTCTGAATGTTTGGGGGGAGTACTAATTTGGCTCCATTGCTGCTGGTGTTGCAGTGCAGCAAGAGGCCTCATAAATCACATGCTGTACGAGTCCGATCATTTCAGTGGCCGGAAAACGAGGAAGACTGCTGTGTAAAAACCTACTATGTTCAGGGGGAAATTCGCGGTATGTTAATGCTCTACATAAATGAAACTCTTCCTTCCATGCCCAACTCTCTCATTTCCATTTGAACAATGCACACTATGGGGATTTCAATCTGTTTTTGTACTCTTGAAGAGCATTTCATTATATAATTTGTGCCTTGTATCCCTATACTTTTAGTCTGAGAAAGCATTGATATATTTAGCTTAATACTTTTCTCTTGTGTATGAATTTTAAGAAAACTGAATAACACAGAGGAAAGTATAAGAAATAAATCCATTATTGAAACACCCTTCATTGTTGAGTTTGCGACCGGGAAAATTGGGTCGGATCGGACCTGCAAATCTTGCATAATTTGCGATGAAAGTTTGGGTACGCGTATTGCGTAAGGATACGCTGGCCCAAGCTCGGTGAACATGTTGAGGACAAAGAAAATGTGAGTGTATATGGGGTTGCCTAGCCTCCTGCGAGGCAACCTCGTAGTCGGAATAGGCGGTCGGCACCGGGGTTATTTTAAACGACACCGACCGACTGACCGACGCTAAAGCTCCTATTCTGAAATAGGTTTGAAATCACACTTCTGGAGAGTTTATAAAACAAAAACATAAAATTTTCCGTAGACGAAGGAAATCATTTTTGTTACGGAGTACTTTTTCTTACGTTCCAGAAATTTCTTACACTTGTTTTGTTTATGTAGTTCATACCATTTTTCTCATTAAAAAAACTATAGTTGTATTTATTTTATTTTTTTTACACTTTTTAAACTCTATAAAAATTGAGTTGAAAATATTTCATTTTTTTGTTGAAAAAAGAGTAAAAAAGCATTGTTCCAATTATAAGCAACCGTGCAATGCCGACACCATGAGCATGAAGACAATAATTGCGAAGAAGAAATGGAATGCACCGATTGACTGAACTATGCCCCTTTGTCACATATCTTCCAAACATGTCTCTTTCTCCTTCAAAATAAAATTAAATCTCAAGTTTTTTCAAATTATTTTATTCAAAGATTTGTATAAAATTAAAAAATAAAACTTGTATTTTTAAAAAATACATTAAAAATTTTACAAAACAAGATGTGACACAATTATTTTATTTTATCATAATCAATGAAAATTTATAAACAAATAAAGTTTAAAGATAAATAAAATTCATGTCCACGAATTTGATAAAAACCAATCTCCAATGTTAATATAATACTCCTTCCATTCCATAATTTTAATCCTAGTTTGATATGGATCACATAATTATTTTCTTAAAAAAATACGAAAAGAATTTTGGGACAATCAAAATTGGGAAATTGGAAGATAATTATGAGACGGAGTAACTTCTTTTTGGGGAATTTGCCTAATTATGACTAAAACATAATGACTTTCTCAATATAGGACTATATGTTTTTATTTCCCAATATAGGACCATTGGTCATTATCTATTAGTCATTATTGAACTAAATGTCCAGCATCACTGAACATAATTCTTCTCACTAGTCATTATTAAGTCCTATTTAAGAAATAAAAAAGCTTCAAGTCCTCAATTTTGAAATGACTTATGTTTTTGTCGTGTAAATTTTTCAAATTTTTTAGAGTGCAAAGATACACAGCATGTGAATGCAAAGTAAGATAAAAAGGAGATAGAGACTGGATGGGCATTTAACAGAGAGAGAGAGAGAGAGAGAGAGAGAGAGAGAGAGAGAGAGAGAGAGAGAGAGAGAGAGAAGAAGAAGAAGAATGAAGTTCTTGTTCCAGTGTCCATGTTGCTCATGTTTCTGCTTCCTGAAGCCTCGTGTGAATAAGAAGCCAAAGAAGCCAAAAGCAGCAGCAGCAGCAGCTCCTAAGCCTGACAAAGAAGACGCCGCCGCCGCCGGTAATAAAATGGAATGATACATAGATGAATTGAAGAAGAAGAAGAAGAAGAAGAATGGAGACTGTGATCGATCTTTTCCTATCTCTGGTTTCTATCTATTATCAATAAATGATATATTGTCTGTAAGTGATTGTTCTCCATCTGGTGAACTACTTTTCATCATTGAGGTTAAAATTGACATTTCCCCCCAAGAAAGACTCATCATAATGCTCCATCCATCTTAAGAGTATTTATTGATCTTTACCCAATTCTCTCAAACCAATAATCTCTTTCTTCTTCTTCTTCTTCTTAGATGTGTAAAAAAACAAATGAAAAATATTCAGCCCTTTTGGAGAATTTTCTGTACATAAGCTCATAATCACTCTTTTTTTTTTTGCAAGATTATTTTGGCTTTGATTTGGTTTGTTTCAATTCCATGCATCCAAATGATAGATTGTTATCAACCAACTCCTTCTTCTTCTTCTTTTGTCCTTTGGTTTGATGAGACAATTGGGTAAAAACCTCTCTCATCTAAATTCTAACCTATCATCTTCTTAGATGTAAAAACAAATAATGAAAAATATTCACAACTCTTTTGCAAAATTTTGGAATGGAGATCCTATATGGATTGCATGCATAACAATTAGTATATTTATTGAACCCAAAGCAAAGATTTATTATCACACCCCAAGCAAATGCCCATCAAACAACATTTACACAACCCAAAACCTTTCGAATTAATATTTTAGTTTGAAGTTTGTTCCTGGCCGGAGATAAGCCAGAGAGAGTATAAAACTTATGCTTAGGAACAGAGGCCTTATTCCATCCGGACGATGGTGAAGATCAAAAATTGATAAAAATCCTGCATTCTTGTTCCTTTTTGCATCTAAAACGTTTGGAAAATTCTGAATGTAAATAAATATACCCTTTTTTTTTACATGAGTAAATGGCACAAAAATCAGGAATGCAACATTGTGAATTTGTGATTGATACTATTTTGTAGAACTTTTGATATAGTTTTTTAATATGTGAATTTTATTATTTTTAGTTCTGCCCCATTTGTATTATAAATTGAATGAAAAATAACTTCAATTAAACATTACAAACCATAGAGCTTTTTAAAGGGAATCTAATGCTATTAAATTAGCATTACAACTTGATCAAAAAAAAAAAATTAGCATTACAATTAATGGTAATTTACTACCAGTAGCAAAATTAGATCAAAGTTTCTAACGTTTCACCAAAAAAGTCCACAAAATAAAGAGACCGAGGCTTGTGTTACTGCTGTATAATATTACTGCATTGATAGATTCGACTTTGGCACAACACAGGAATAACACTTTCGAATAAAACCTTCAAGACGACGAATTCCCTCGCACTGAGGTCGGGTAGTTCCATTGCTGGGTCAATCAGCGGGTCGACAATCTTCTCCTTATTACCCTCGTCCGTTTTGGGCAAACCAACGTCGTGATCAGCAAAGTTATACAACTGAGAAGCACGCATATGCTCCTCCCGTGGGGCCGGCGGGAGGGCTCCACGGAGTGGGCCTGGTCCGGCGCCAAACTCGGGTGGAGCAAAAGTAGTGTAGCTGATCCTATGAGCATATGACAATATATCCGACAGTTTGATCTGGGTGTTCACGGTTGTCAACGAAGAGTCCTCATCATCGGACAATTTTGCCCGCTTCGGGCGGCGATAATCGGAGTAGTCATCCACTTTAGCATGTCAAGGACACGGACCGCTTCTTGAAGCTCTGCAACGGCTTCAAAAAGTTGCGACTGAAGGGAAGTGNTGGTAGAAGGGGAGGGCTCGAGCGGTGGGGTTTGAGAAGGTAAGAAGGAGGAAGGGAGAGAGCCGCGGAAGGGAACTAACCGATTGGGCGAGACTTCAAAGAGTCTGGAAGCAAGGTAGAGTACCCATATTGGAAAACGGCATTTTAGATATGGAAACTTTGACCATAGATCTAAATTTTGTTAATGATTTATAAAAATAATCTAAGGATTGTTCTTCGTATCAGTAGAAGCTGAGAAAAAAATAGCTATTGTTTGAAATTCAAAACATGGTTGGAAGTTTAAGCAACAAGGGGTGAAGATGAAGCTTGGATAAATGAAAATTAACTTAAATTGGATTTGGAAGAAGAGCATGGTCAGATAAAAGGAAGCCACACGGCACGCGCAGCCAAATGGAAGCTTATATTCTCTAGGGTATATTCATTGTTGAAAGGTTTTATGTCATAAAGTAGAATGTTATTTGGGCTCTCATTGGTTTTAGTAAAAACAATAAACTGCCCAACATTGGCATGCTCCATATCAAGCAGTTTTTTGTACAACTAAACCCTAGGCTGCAGAGATAGAAATCAATAACACAATTACACACCTTATCTCTCGATCTGGCCTTCTTCTCGACTCTGTGACTTCATCTTCCTTCGTCCCCAACCACACTACCATCATCCAGGGCCGGTCCAAAGGATTCCCCGGGACATGATGAAAAAAGTCCTTAAGACCTTAACCACAACGATTTAAACTTTGAGTACATTTTGAGTTAATTGAGTACAAACTAATTTTGTCTCGTGACTTCCATTTCCCAAAGAATCAACAAAGCATCATTCCATCACTAGAAATAATTGAAATGAGATACGAAAATAAAACCTTTAACTCAAATTAAACAAAAAAAATTTAGAAACACAAAATTTATCTAAGCTTAACCCAAACCAAACAAACAGCTCAAAACACAAACTAGAAATCCTTAACTAGCAGCTCAAAAAACAAGCAGATTAAAAAAATCAATAACTCAAACTAACAAAACAAATTAATCTACGCTCCCAGCTCTAAAGCTGAACAAGAAATCAATTAATCAAATCTCAACTCAGCTTCTTCTAAATCCCACAACTAGCAAGTTGGAATTAGAAACATAACCTGTGAATTCAAGCTTCAACGAACAACATAACAACCGAATTCACATCATTCAGTAATCCAATAACTTCTCCAATTAAATTAAAAATTGGGTTAATCGATCGAAGATAGCAAGATAGAGACCTGAAAATCTACAAGAAAAGTGGAACGAAAAAGCATGAAACGGTGAAAGCCTGAAATAAAAATCCTGAAAGCATGAAACGGTGAAAGCCTGAAATAAAAATCGCCGCTTTTCTTACCCGAGCATTTGGGCCCGATTTGACGAGATTTGAGGTTGCACAAAATCTGCACTTAAAAATAACAACTACAGTATAATTATGTTTTTCTCAAAATAGCTCTTAAAATAAACTAAGTTAATCGAAAATAATGTTAATTTAATCATCTCGACTATTGACCATGAAGAAGATAATAAAATTTATACTCATTTCTCAAAATAGTTTTTTCTAATTAAGTGCTTTCCCAAATCAATTAGTTTTCAAAATAATTTGATTATAGTATGAGATTATAATAAATAAAACTTTAAATAAAATTTAATAAATTTAAAATTCAACTTTTCAAATTGTTTAAAATTATTTAGAAGATTATCATGTAAAAAAAAGGTCATGTGTTTAATAAATGGTTCTATCTATTCTGAAATACGACCCTGATTCGCTATATAATGTTTGATCGAAGTTATTTTCAAATAAATATAACTGAAGTTTGTCTAGAATTGCTTGTTAACATGAGTTTTATTTTGACACAAAAACAATATTATGAAATAAGATTATATTTATAATTCTATTTATGATATTCTCATGCTACAACTTCTTTGGAGCAAAAGCATCTTAGGAACTCTTTTCCCGGGATAAAGTATAAAAATAAATAATTCATGTCACTGTACTAATCAAGTTCCTAATCCAATCAAACAACGATCTTTTACGTTTCTTCTATTTTACGGGCTAAAATGAAAGAAAAGCATATTAGATTGTTAGGAAAGTGGACTCTTTTCCGAGAATGAAGAACCAAAATAAATGATTAACTTGTATTTTTTTGTTATGTAACCCCTAATACTAATACTAATACTAGTGCTAATGAATGATAGCAATACTAATGGAGTAATAATATTAAAAAAAAAGAGAAATTTACTTAAATATCACTACAACATAACCATAAGACTAAAAACGATGCGGTCAAGTGAACACGTAGCCGGCCATCCAACGTGGTGTCCTCTTCTGTCTACGAGAGGTGAGCCTGCTGGGCAAGTCTAAGTCTGTATCAAGCTTACTCTTAGTCGTCTGAGTGCAACGCCGCCGCCCTTTCACCGGCGGCGGTGATATGGGTGTTGGCCACCACTGGCTTGCAATCTTAGGGTGAATATCGTCGTCGTCCCCGCCGAACGACGTGTAGTGGCGAAGCGATTCGGCTCGGAATTTGGAAAACCACGCATCCTCCTCTCGTGATGATTGTCGATTGTTCGTGCTGCCCGTCACGTAAACCAAATCCTCGGGCACGCACGAGTACCGGTTCCGGGCGTGGATCTTGTGGGCCAAGCTCCACTTCCCCGCGTCGTAGTCCTCGAGTTCCCATACGTAATGGTCGCGACGCCACACCGTCGTCACGCGAAGACGATCCTGTCGTACTCCAATGCTATTGAAGGTGTACCTACTAGCTCGAGTGTGGTGGGGGGCTATCGATGACGCGGGAAAATCTCGTGGGAGAATTATAGGGATCGTATACCAAAATGTGACCATCAAGCAGCCAATGTAGCATCCCTCTATATGCCACAAGACCCGTCAAAGCATCGCCCCGGCAAGGTAGCGCCCGCGGGGTTCTAACCGCGCAACTTCTCCATCGACCCTCCTCCGATGAATAGAGCTTCACGTTGAACTCGGAAACCGGGCTTCCGGGACTACATTTCGGAATCCGAACCACGGTGAATTTATGGCGTGAATTGTCATCACCCCCGCGATGGGGGTGGTCTTCGCAGCTGCAAAGGGAACACGGGGAAGGAACGGAGAGGAGGCCAACGGCTTCCCCTGCGGGGGAGGGTTCCCCATCACCCGCAGAAGCCGGAGGGAGGGCGGCCCATTGCCTGGTTAGGGGATTGCAAACGTAGAAATACACCCGGGTCTTCTTCTTGTTCTTATTCGAGCACAAGATCAAATCGGCACACGAACAACGCACCAGGATTCTTTTGCTCGGAGACACGGGGAGGAAGCCCAAATCCAGGACTCGGGTGGCGTCGAACTGGGCTGTACCCCGCCCCGTGTACCGATAGCGGAAGAGCCTGGTTTCGTTCCGCAGTCGGTACACGAGGCTATACGACGACGACGAGGAGGGAGAAGAAGAAGAAGAAGACGAGTCGCGGTGGCGGCGGTGATTGAAGAAAGTGATGAAACAAGGGGAAGAGATGAGGGAGTTCCAGCGCCGGCACACCAGTTTCAGCTGATTCGCTTCCCTGCTGCTCGGAACCCTAATCAGGATTTCAATCAACAAGCTTTCTGGCAGGCCATGGAAGAAATTAATGACGGCGATGGTGGTGGTGCAAGGAATCTGATGATGACGACGACGAGTCGGTGATGACCCCACTGGCTTTCTGGATCTGAACCCGGCCATAATCTTAAAATTCTTTTTGATGAGGCGACAGAAACCTTAAACCTAGGCCATGAAGAGATTGGAATTCCTTATATACTCGGAAGATACTTCTTTCACATTAGTTGGTATACACTTCCAGAACATGGGCATAATAACACAATCCCGTCATATCTAATATAATATGTATCCACACCGCAAGCATGATCATTCCACACCGCCAAAAAAATGTGTTTACGTTGGTATACATTTCTAGAACATAGACATAACACACTGCCAGAAAGTGTAGTTAAGTATTGTGAACCATAATACATTGTCCAAAACATGAGCATAACACACTGCTAGAAAGTGTAGGCATAACATGACCATTCCACACTGCCAAAAAAGTTGGTACACACTTCGAGTTTCGTTTATTAAATGTGTTTAAGCAGTGAGGAGTGGCATGACGGTTCTAAGTGCTACGTACAAGGAATGAGAATAACCTCCTAAAATTATGGATCTCAATAAATATGATAAATGAAATAATTAAAAGGGTATGATTGGAAGATATCCACGCCATAAATAGCCAAATATGTGAAAAACAATAAGGAGTGCTATATGTGTAATATTGGGTGTCTTAGAGTGCTACATAGGATGATTTCTAAAAATAAAATATTCTTTACACCTCTTATTTCGAAGAACTTTTCATGTAGTTTTTTATATGTAAATTTTATTTTTTATTTCTATACCAATATGTAAATAAAATGAATTGAAAAAATTTGATATTTTACCTCTGTATTAGAAATGTGAAATATATTTAGGGACGGAAGGAGTATAATTTAACTACTAAGGGGAATAAATCTATAACAACTTAATTCTAAATGTTTATTACATTTCAAAAAACAATGCAAAATATCAAGTTTTTTCAATTCATTTTATTTAAATATTGGTATAGAAATAAAAAATAAAATTCACATTTTTAAAAAGTACATGAAAATTTTTTCGAAATAAGAGGTGTCAAAATTGTTTTATTTGATCAAATAATCAATGAAAACGCACAATCAAACCAAAGTTCCTGTGACGGCTGGTAATACTCCCTCCGTCCCTAAAAGATGGCCGCAGTTTGACTTTTTGGTCAAACTCTGGCACCTTTGACTACAAATTTTGGAAAAAGTATACTTCCTCCGTCCACAAATAAACTTCTCGTTCACTATTCACAGGGTCAAACTTTATTATTTTGTTGGCCTATTTTCGTCACTCATTTGATAAAATAAAATAATCATGTCACCTCTAATTGTGTAGATCTTTTGATATAGTTTTTTAATATGTAATTTTTATTAATTTTATACCATTTTTCATATAAAATGATTTGAAAATAACTTCAGTCAAACATCGTAACGTGCAACGGGAAATTTAGTTGTGGACGGAGGGAGTATTTAGTTATAATGTAAATTTAGTAAAATTAGATTTATTTTAAAATATAGTTTTAAAATATCAAACTTTTATAATATTTAATTATTTTAAACTATATTTAATTCGTTGTCAAATGGTATCACAGTTTGACCAAAAAATTCAAACGATATCAATCTTTTACGGACAGAAGAAGTATCATATGAATAAATACAAAGAAAGATTCTATGATGGCCATAAAATATGATCATTGGGAATATAACGATGCACTATCTTCTTCTTTCATCTTTCCTCATCTTTTTCGAGATTCTCAAGAGTGCTTCTATCATCTGCAAACATCACAAGCATTTAGAGTGTGTTTTCTTCAACTTGTTCTTACGGAGCAATATTTATTACCTATTCTTACCTTATTGAAATCAGATTAGATCAAACTAGATTAGAACTTATTTAATTTAGATCATCATGACCAATCAAATAACAATCAAGAACAAAAAAGCAATAACATACTCTTAGTTGTGCAATGCCGGTTCCCCTCGGCAGCGGTAGTACTGGCGTTGGCCACCACTGGTTAACAATCTTAGTGTGAAGCTGGAACGATGAGTAGTAGGCATGTGCTTGCCATCCCAATTCGGAAAACCGTGTTTCACCACCCTGTGGTTGTGGATTTGTATCGCCTCTCACATAAACCAATTCTTCGGTTACACAAGGAAACAGACTTCTAGCGCGAAACTTGTGAGCCAAACTCCACCTCCCCGTGTCGTAGTCCTCGAGTTCCCATATATAATGGTCATTACAATCAGCCAAGCGTGCGCTCATGGTACTAAAGTCACGGGACACGGTCGTTACATGAAGACGATCCCAGCGCACGCCAATGCTACTGAAGGTGTCAGGATATGAGTGTGGTGGAGGGATATCAATGACACGGGAAAACCTTGTAGGAGAATTATACGGGTCGTATACCAAAATGTGACCGTCAACGAGCCAATGCAGCTTGCCTCTGTATGCCACGAGAGACGAAAAAGCACCGACTTGACGAGGTAGTGCCCGTGGGGTTGTAACCATGCAACTTCTCCATCGACCGTCCTCGGACGAATAGAGCTCAAAGTTGAACTCGGAAACAGGCTCAAACGAACGTTCCTTCCAGGGCTCAAGTAGAGGATTGCATTTAAGAATTCGCACAACCGTAAATTTATAGCGAGAATTGTCAACAGCAGCGCAACGGTGGTGGTCTTTGCAGCCACCGTGGAGGCAAAGGGAACACGATGAAGGAACGCAGAGGAGCCCAACGGTTTCCCCTCGGGCGAAGGGGTACACATCCACATATGTATCGGGGAGAGCAGCCCATTGCTTGGTCAGGGGATTACAAACATAGAAATATGATCTGGTCATGTTACCACTCTTATAAGAGCACAAGATCAAGTCGGCACACGAACAATGCACTGTGATATCTTTGGTTTGAGGGATGGGGAGAAAACTGAAATCAAGGACGTGGCTGGCATCGAATTCGATCGTGTTGCGGTCGGGGTGTCGATAACGGACCAGCCATATTTCGTGACCTAGTCGGCACACAACGCTGTGCGACGAATCGTCCGGAGGAAAGGGGCAAAGGCACGGATCGTGGCGGTGGTGATTGAAGAAAGTGATGAAATAAGGGGAAGAGATGAGGGAATTCCAGCGCTTGCATACCAATTTCAGCTGATTTGCTTCCCTGCTGCTCGGAACCCTAATCAGGATTTCAATCAACAGCCCTTCGCTCAGCCCATCGAAGAACAACGGATGATGAAGATGATGATGATGGGAAGAATCTGATGATGATGACGACTTCAATCTCTTCTTCTTCTTCTTGTCATCAAGACTGCCTTTTGATTCTGATGATGATAACTTCGATCTCTTCTTCTTCTTCTTCTTCTCGTCAAGACTGCCGTTTGATTCCGATGATGATAACTTCATTCTCTTCTTCTTCTTCTTCTTGTCAAGACTGCCTTGTGAATCCGAATCAGAACGGAACATTGGAACGGATTCCTGTTTTTCCGATGTCTGCAAAAACAATTCCGATTCGGACCTAAACCTATGCCTCTATGGCTCTAGATATATTACCCTCTGAAATCTGAATCCGATTACTTTTCTATTTCCTATTTACTCGAAATTTTGATTTTTTAAAGATGTGTATTTTAGTTTTGAATTTTTAAAATTTATGAACATTCTCTATGTTATATTTTATTTATATGATATTTTTCTAAATAATTGTAAATAATTTAAACTGTTTACTTTCAAATATGCGAGATATAAAACTTGTCATCATATAAAACTTAAACTTATTTTTTCATTATTAATGTATTTTTTATTTCAAAAATTGACCAATTAAAGAAAACACCCAGTAAAAAACTACTCCGTACTATTTTAGAAAAGTGGTATAAGGATTGATGTCATTTCAATGTAACGGCTATTAGTATGTGGATAGTACAAAGAATAGATAGAAAAAAGAGTAAATTCAAAAATGGTCTTTTGTAATTAGGTATTTCTCCAATTTAGTTCTCAATAAGTTTTAATTACCTACATGGTCCTCTATAATTGAGATTTATTTTTAAGATAGTTTTTCGCAAATAATGTTACTCAAATGATAATTACTTGAAGATATTTAGGTATTTTGATCATCCAAATTTAAAGTATATTCTTAAAATAGTTATTTCTATGCAACTAAATGTAAAATTTAAAAAATATATTGACTATAAATAATTCATGAATTATTTAAAAACTAATAAATAAATCTTTTAAATTTCAAATCAAATACACATCTTTAATTAAAAAAAGCATTTTGGGAAAGCATTTTTTTTATAAATGATCGTTTTAAGAATTAATTCTAAATTTAGCAGATAAAAAATACCAAAATACCCTCAATTAATCCTCATTTGAGTAACATTATTTACGAAGGACCATCTTAGGAATAAATCTCAATTATAGAGGACCACGTAGGAAATTAAAACTTATTGAGGACTGATTTGGGAAAACATATTATTACATAGTCGATTGAAATCCCACAAACTAACAGGAGTAAAAAACTTATTTAAAATTTATCTTATAGTCGATTGGAATCCTATGTCATGTGATGACCGCGGGCGCTCCAGTGCCCCCTAATCTCCTCCGTAAACCATCCCATCCCTCACCGACCCAAACACACCCACACCCACACCCCCTTCAATTGCACCAACAAGTTGATTTTGACTTTGGAGTCAAAGTTTGACTCCAAAATCAACTTGTGAGGTGAAATTGAAGGGGGTGGAGGGGTGTTCGGGTCGTGGCAGGGTGGGGGATTTACGAGGGGGTTAGGGGGGTAGGAACCGTCAATTTTACGAACGGGGCATCGGAGCGCCCTCGGGTCATCCCATGACGTTGTCGGGCAATGTCAAGGGAACCTCCCTTGAAATATTTCGCATTAATATAGTTTCTTGAAACAGGTCTAATGAATATAAAAATTAAGATTTGTGTTCAAATCAATTCAAATTAAGCTACATTGTTGCAAAACAAGTTTAAAAATTTTGGCATAAAAAAATTTTAAAAAAATTGAAGTTTCCGGTTTTTACCCGAACCGGACCGGAAAAAACCGGTCTGGCCCGGAATGTATCAGGTCCGGTTTCCAGTCCTAAATTTTAGGTGATTCCAGTTCTCCGGTTTTTCTGATTCCGGTCTGGTCTGGTCCAGTTTTAGACGAGTGTATATCCTTAACAGATGTGGTCTTTCTTTAGAATCTTAGCCCACAATCATAGTCATTATTTTTGTGTTATTTGTCTAATCAATATCTGAATAAATTATTGAACACAAGGTTGATGTCAAAAAAAATAACAATTTGTGGAAGGGCATCCACAAAAGATGAACTACGAAAGTAATATTTAATAATAGAAAAACAAATATAAAAACTCTCTATTATGTTATAAAGTACCAATTATAAAATTTATTTTTTTTATTCAACCATTCACCGGTGAAATGGTTTTACTTTGAAATTTTAACTTTTGTTAGTCAAAAAAGAATTGAATTGTTTCTTTGAGTTCCACTTTTTTTTTTTCAAAAAAGAAAGCATCGAATTCTATCAGGCACTAGCACATCTTCTCTCCCTATATATACCCACTGCGGATGGCTACGGCCGCGCCACCGGCGGTGAACGGCGCCGTGAAAATGGCCACTACCTCTCAAGCTTATCTCGAAAGCGGCAAGGTGAAAGAGACCAAGGTTTTGATCGCCGACCTCTGCCGCCACTTCTACAATCAGGGTTGGGTCTCCGGCACCGGCGGGAGCATCACCGTCAAAGTTCACGAAGACTCCATTCCGAGACACCAACAGCTCATTGTCATGTCCCCATCAGGTCCTCTTAACCCTTTTCCCCAATTTTCAATGGACATTTGTTTGATTTTGAGATCATTTCTCTGTTCTTGTGTAAAACTTAGTTCATAGTTTGTGTGGATGATCAGGAGTGCAGAAGGAAAGAATGGTTGAAGAGGATATGTATGTGCTATCTCCAAATGGGACAATTCTATCGGAGCCGTCCGCTAAACCCTACCCACATAAGCCTCCCAAGTGTTCTGATTGTGGCCCTCTGTTCTTGAAGGTACAACAACACATAACTGTTGTGATTCCAATTTTTGGGCTTGTTTATTTACTCAAAAATGACTAAGTTTGATTCCTTATTTTAATTGAAGTGGTGCAGAACTGCTTGGTGTTCGAGTATAGCGTGCAATTTGTGTGTTTTTTGCCTAGATGTTACGGGTTTGTTCGTTTATACTGCAACTTATTGAAATGAGCTTAAATTGAAAGTACCAAACTCAAAGTTGAATGGTTTAGATTTATTTGCTAAGTGAAAACCACCTCTCTATTTTCTAGTAGGGGTAAGGTCTCTGTACACACATCCTCCCACGCACTACTTTCCTGGGATTGAACTGGGTTGTTGTTGTTATTTGCTCAGTGAAAAGTGTTGAACTTAAATGAATATGGCTAAAATTAAGTTGAAAAGAATAGACTCATTGTCATATTTCATGGCACCCAACTCTACACTTTCATATTATTTTTTCCACAGCATAATTTGGCTGTTTAACGAGGAATTTATGTGGATCTAAAGTTTGTTTGGAACTTCTGGACAGAGTCATTTATGCCCTTAGTCTCACGGGTCATCATGGTTTCGATTGTGCAGGCATATGAGATGCGCAATGCAGGTGCTGTTATCCATAGTCATGGAATGGAATCTTGTCTTGTTACTATGATGAATCCATCTGCCAAAGAATTTCGAGTGAGGATTTAGACTTGCACGTGCCCAGACAAACACACACATTTTAATTAGAGTAAATTCCCAAAATGGTCCTTTGTAATAAGGTGTTTCGTAAATAATGTGGTCCTCTATAATTGAGATTTATTCCCGAGATGGTCCTTCGTAAATAATGTTACTCAAATGAGGATTATGAGGGTATTTTGGTATTTTTTATCCGCTAAATTTAGAATTAATTCTTAAAATGGTCATTTATAATGAAGTATTTTCCCTAAATGATTTTTTTCTAATTAAAGATGTGTATTTGATTTGAAATTTAAAAGATTTTTTATAAGTTTTAAATAATTAATGAATTATTTATTGTCAATGTATTTTTTCAATTTTACATTTAGTTGTACAAAAATAACTGTTTCGAGAATATACTTTAAATTTGGATGTCAAAATACCATAATATCTCCTAATTAATCATCATTTGAGTAACATTGTTTACTAAGGACTATATTGGGAATAAATCTCAACTATAGAGGACCATGTAGGTAATTAAAACTTATTGAGGACTGAATTGGGAAAACACCTTATTACAAAGGACCATTTTGGGAATTTACTCTTTTAATTAACTATTTGTTGTTTGATAATGACCCAATAGTAGGAATATTTTGAAATTTGATGGTTTCAGATGTTTACAAGATAGAGAGATGTGGAGTCTCAACTCTCAACAACATTAATTCTAGCTTCTAAAATCTTAAAAAATGAATTATTTCTTTCTCTTTCTTTTTTTAAATGCACTTTTTACATTTTGATGGACTGCAGATATCCCTTTGTGGTTCTTATAGATTGTGCTATTTGAAAATATGCAGATTACTCATATGGAAATGATTAAGGGAATTCAAGGGCATGGTTACTATGATGAGCTTGTAGTCCCAATCATAGAAAACACTGCCCATGAAAGGGAACTCACTGACTCTCTTGCTGAAGCTGTAGGTTCCAGAACATTCTAACTCCTTCCTTTTTATTGGAATTAAATCAGTAACAATGCACAGAGCATAGTAAATTTGATAAAAATGTGAAAAAGCAAGAAAAAATATAACTCCTGAAATACCCTGAATTAGGGGGAGTGAGAGATAATGAGTTTAGAAGGATTCTATAGCTCCTCCACTCTTGTTTCTGTTCCTCCAAACCACCGCAACCAAACACACAATCCTCCACTTTCATCTCATTTCTTTCGAAAGTCCTCTAACCACAAAAGCCTAAAAGGGTAAACTGTTTAGAAGTCAAAGTGCCCAATAGGTAATCAACTGTGCGATTTTTATGGTTCCACTGTCTTTTCACCTCAAACGTGTCAGAGTTGAACTGAGAGTGAGACCTTTTGAGTTTTTTTCATAAAGGCATTAAAAATGAAGAGAGAGAGAGAGAGAGAGAGAGAGAGAGAGAGAGAGAGAGAGAGAGAGAGAGAGATGATATGATGTACATTTTAAGTAGTAACTTCAGTTGCACCTTACATTCACTTCAACCATCTTTTTGTGTTCCGTGCAAAACAGATAAAAGCCTACCCCAAAACAACAGCTGTGTTGGTTCGAAATCATGGAATATACATATGGGGAGATTCTTGGATTAGTGCCAAGACACAGGTTGGTGGATAGAAGGAAATACTCCATGTTCTTCAGTTGGTTTAGCATTTGCTTACAGGCAAATAGTTAGTGTTACAGTTTTGTCCATATATTCATTGGTGAAGTGGTGATTAAGTGAATTTGATATAAGAAAATTATTCAATTTTGGTACCATGACTATATGGTCATCCCACTTCTGGTTTTCAACCTCATTTTCCAGTTTAATGCATGACTTTGGGGGATTTTTTTGCCACTTTTGGTCATTTCATGCCACTCTCAAAATTAATGAAAAATGATATGAGTATGAAATTGTTCAAATAAGTGGTCGGGTCA